TCCCTTTCTCCTGGTATTCACGCCCTTGTGTTGTCCCTTTGAGTGTGAGCAGGAACTGTGACAGGTTTCTGGCCGATATAGTATGGTAATGGTGACAGAACACATGTAATTACACATATGTGGTTACATTACTAAGACTGTAAAGTCCATTCACCTCTGAGGAAACACATGGCCACCCGGGGAAGACCCATGTGGCAAGAAACCAAGGGTGGCCTCTGGCTAACAGCTACTAAAAATGGGGTCCTTACTCTGCAATCTACAAAGAGCCAAATGCTGTCAACAACCACACGTGCTTGGAAGCAGATGCTTCCCCAGTCAAGACTCGAATGAGATCACAGCCCTGACAGACAGCTTGACAGCTGCCTTGTGAGACACAGCTAAATCATCTCCTGACTCCTGACCCACAGACACTGCGAGACAATAAATGCGTGCTGCACGAAGCTGCTAAATTTGTAATAACATTGTTAGACAATAGGCAATTAATATACACCAAATGTCCAAGTGGTGAACAGATCAACTGTGCTGTTGATTTACCTGTACAATGGAATACTACACACCAGCAAAAAGTAATGGATTACTGATACCTGGTGGTGCTGGTGGTTCAGCTGCGCAGTCACATACAACTCTTACAACCCCATGGACTATAAAGCCCACCGGGACCCTGTGTCCATGGGATTTCCCAGAGAAGAACACCGCAGTGGGTTGCCACTTACTTCTCCAAGGGATCTTCCTGACCAGGGATCAAACCCACATCTCCTGCATTGCAGGCAGACTCTTTACTGCTAAGCCATATATGTACAACAATATAAAATTTCACTAACGCTATTCTGAGCAAAAGAAGTGAGACATACAAGATTATATACATTATGAATACACTCATGTGTAATTCTAGGAGAGACAAACATAATCTATTAGTGGTAAAAAAGCAGCTCAGATTTCCTGAGGCCAAAGGCTAGGATTTTCCTGGGAAGCAGAGTAAGAGAATGTTTGGGAATACTGGAATTGTTCTGATCTTGACTGTGATGGTGGTTAAACAGGTATATATACATTTGTCAAAACTGACCACAACACATCTATTTGAATTCCACAGTAAAGCTTTGGGCCACAAAAACTCAGTCACTCAAAAAGCTATTAACATATGGATTTTAAGTCAGGATAGGGGCAATGTTTTGGGGACTGGACAGTAACAGGAGGGACGCCAAAGAGGTTTCTGAGGTCCTGGTTATGTTTGATTGCTTGATCTGAGTACTGGTTACACATGATTGTGTTCACTCTGTGAACATTCACCAAGCTGTACACATAATTGGTGGACTTCCTGGGTGTATGTTAAACACCAATAAAAAGGTGGTTTTTTTTTTAAATTTTAAAGGCTAGGGAGTCATGCTAAATTACACTAAAGAGGCAAATCAATGCACTCCCTGTTTCTCCATTGGATCCTGAATTTGTTTTTTACTGGAAACATGTGAATGTGGTCTGTATTAATAAATAATATTTTATCAATACCAAACTTCCTGTGTGATAGTGGTATTATGGTTATGTAGAAGAATAACCTTACTCTTATGAGAGACAAGGTGAAGTATTCCAGAATGAAATACCATGTCTGTAACTAACTATCAAATCCTTCCCAAAGAAAAGAAAAATATAAAGAGATTGAAATAGAGCAAATTCAGCAAAAGGTAAACAATGCATCTTGCAAGCTTTTATGAGAGTTTTATAGGACTTCTCTGTATTATTCTTTCAACTTTTCTATAGGTTGAAAACTTTTCAAAATAAAGAGTGAGGGACAAAACATCTTGTTTGAACTTGTTATTCAAGAGTTCAGTAATCTTCCAAAACTGCATGCAGAGACCTGGAGAAGGAAATTAACATTCACAACATGAGCACTTAAAATGTACCACATACTCTTAACATCTGTAACTTCAATCAACCCTCAAAGCAACCTTCTAGTTAATTATTATTACTCCCATTTTACAGAGAAGAAAACTGAGGCTCAGAGAGGTGGAGAGATAAGTCCAAGAGTGAGTGAGTGAGTGATGGAGTTCAAACCAAAGTCAATCAGGAAAACAAGCCTTTCTCTCCATAACATCTTTGCTGTACTCCTCTCCCTTTCCAGCTTCTATGTTTTTTCAGTCCAAAATTGACTATATCAAAGGATATAATCTATATATCCTATATATATGTCTATATATATGTCAAAGGATATAGACTATAGCCTTTGATATAGTTGATTTTGGAGTGAACATGAACAGACTCGAAACCTACATTCCGTAATAATTCTCAATACTCAACAATCATTAAACCATCGGATTGAACCATGCCTCTGCTCTTCACTAAAGACAGAAAAGCTGGTGGGAAAGTACAGAAATAGGAATAACATTTCCTGTTCCTATGGGCCATAACATGTACAGACTAAAAGGGACTTTGATAAGAGATTAGCCTGGCAAAACAGAGTAATATGGAGTAAACACAACAAGAATATGAAACAATAAATGCAATTCCAACAGACTGTTTTGAAGACAGACTAAAACAATTATACCCTTATGAAAAAGCAAGTACATCAGTGAAATCTAAGTTACAAAGGACACCAAGGATAATCACTAGTTAGGGTATTCCTTTAAATTTTAAGGCGATTACTTAAGAGCAAATAAAACTTTAGTGAACTTCTGGTCAACATATGAAAACTCATACTCCCAAAAATATTACAACAGGGACTGAGGAAAGGCTTAGATGGCTTGTGAGTGAAACTCCAGAGTTTACTACATGGAATAATAGATAACACACTATGTCAGGCACTGTTCTAAAACAAGTTAATTCATTTAATCCTCAGACCAGTGCTATGAGATAGGCACTAGTATTATTCTTATTTTACAGATGGGGAAACTAAGGCCAAAGATGTAACTTGTCCAAGACCAACACAGTTGGTAAGCAGTGAGGCTAGGATTCTAGCCCAGTGGGGATGGCTTCAGAGTCCATACTTTTAACCACTGTTATACTGCCTTTCAAAGAAAGTGTTGGTTATCTACCCTCAATCTTTCAAAACCAGAGACTGATGCCACAAAGCTAACAAACTTTCTAGGAGAGACAGAATACTCGCTCAGTCCCACAGGTGTGATGCCTTCTTCTCACACACAAACCAGGTTTGGGGGAATATATAAACAGTTCTTTCAGTTCCACTGTGTTTTACTGGAGAAATGGGAAAACCACTGATCAGGACTAGAAAATGAAATGCGAAGCAACTGCTAAAGAGAGTTGGTTCACTTAAAATGCATGCATTTGCAGCTTGTTGTCAGACAGGGACGGAATCTGATGTGAAACATTCAAGTTTTGCCCCAGTCTGCCAGCATTTTCTGATGCAATCCCATCTCTACCAGCTTTGGAAAGGAGGGCAAAGGAGAAGTAGAGTTGAAAACCAAACAGAGTCTGGCCAAGTCCCCTTCAGGACCTTTGATCCCTTCCACGTGCACAGAGAAGACAATTTCCAGAACCAAAGGACTCCCTGGGTGCTAAAAAGCCTCCCAGTGGCAAAAATTCTAGTAACCTTCACAGTTACAATAAAATTACATGTTCTGGCATCCTTTAATCCCAGTCTATAGGCATTCCTAATATACAACAATTCAGAGAAGCCCAGATTCTGAGGAGCCTCAGTATTTCAGCAAGCTAAGTCGGTTAAGGCAAGAATGAAGAGTCCTGCCCCCTCTAACTCAGGACACCCCGCCCCCCATACTCCAGAATTTTAGACAGTGAGAAGACTAAAGCAGCCCTCTTTATTTCTCATGTTTTACAATGCAGACATCTCTCTGAATCATTCGCCACGCTAGCGGAAGCTGCTCTGGGGAACACGCTACTCCTCTAAGTGCAATTCCTGTAATAGACTTATCATAAAGAATGAAAGAGTAATAAGAAACACTAAGTGGTATTCTTCTGCCAAGGAAGTGAAATACCAGTAGGCAGCTGAAAAGTCCACAGGTGTTTCAAGGAGGTGAGAAATGAACGATGAGTCCAGGCTGACACCATTTTCTTCCTCCTCTGTCCAATCCTAACTAAACTTACACGTGCAGGACTAACTAGTGGAGTCACACACAAATCCAGGCTTAATCAGGCTCGTTACAGACCCTGCAAAATGGCGCTTAATAGCCTGTACTTCATAAAGGTTGTAGTGAGCATTAAACGAGATAATAAGCGTAATTTGTCCTCGGCATGATAGCACACACTCAGTAATTGTAAAGTACCGCTTACCCCCAGTCCACCCCACCTTTGGACTACAAACGCGTTCAGAAGCCTTATCATCCACTGCTTCCTGACAGGGATGAGCACTGGTCTTCAAGGTCCCCGAACTGGAGTGGGATTTGGTTGCATCTGTGACTGAAAGGCTAGAGTCTTTGGCTGAGAAAACCAAACTAAGCAGCAAGGACATATTACCAGCCATTAGCTCGGTGGCCTGTTGTTTACAATGAGTCCCCTTCCAACCAACGCACTGAGAGAGTCCGAGTATATTTCCCACCCTCCAACTTAGCAGGGGAAGCGCAAAGGTGACTGAAAACTAAGAGGCTGGCAGCAGGGTGGCCCGGGAGGCTGAGGCTGCGGAGAAGTGGGAACCCTGAAGGAGTCAGGCCCCTCCCGGGACCGAAGGGCCGGGAACGATCCAGCCTCTCACCCCTCTCAAGCAGGAGCCCTCGCAGCTCAAGGCTGGGGGATTTTTTAAGGGTCCCGCCACCGCTTCAGCCAAGCACAAGTGGGACCCCAGGGGCCGGCAGGCGGGAAGGGGGGGGCCGCGGGCGCCTCCAAGCCCCAGCTCGGGAATGTGGTCAAAGAGGGGTCACCGGGGGAGGGGCCGGGAGGCGAGGACCTGGCGAGGGGCGGGACCCCGGAGGTAGCTAGAGGTCGCGGGTGCCTGCTTCGGAGGCTCAGGGTCCCCACCGGGCTCCCAGCCACCCGCCAAGCCACCCCCCACTCCAGCGGGGGTCCCCGCCACAACAACTGGGCAACCTCACTCCCCTTACCTGGCTCGGCTGCTCAGCCTGCTCCGAGGACGCCATCTTCCTGAGGCCTGACTAATCTATCGCCGTTGGGAGAGGCTTCTCCCAAGCGCCCTCGCTCCTGCTCTCTGCCCAGACTAGAGTAGCAGGAACTGAGCTGTCGATGGGGGGCGGAGCGGGGCGGGTCACTGTGGGAGAAGAGGGGAACTCCCACCACAGGGTCAATATGCGCTATTTCTATTAGGTCTCTCCTTTACAGCAAAACCGAAGTCTATCCTTTTTGCATCCTTATATGTGTATTATATTTACTGGATTAAATTTCTGTCCATGGGCACATGTGCTCCTGCTAAGTCGCTTCAGTCGTGTACGACTCTGTGAGACTCCATAGACGGTAACCCATGTAGGGACAAGCTAAGTAGTTAATTAATGAATGTGTAGAGACTTGGAAATTAACTAATCAATTGATCATTTGGTTCAGTATCATTTGTTGAGTTCTTACTATTGGCTATTTGGTAGGTGCGAGAAATAAGATACAAGACTCAACTTCTGCTCTCAAGTCCAGGCCAAATACACACACACACACACATACACACACACACACACATATATACTCACATAATTAAAACATCTTGGAAATAGGAGTCTGATAACCGTCTGCAGGTCTATTAGAAGAACTCAGAAGGCGAGTGCTTTTGGGAGAGGAAGGCTTCTACAAACCGTTATTACTTTATAGTGGTTGAGTTGTTAGATTTTTAAGCCAACTGTGACATTACACGAAAGAGCTGTATACATTAGAAATATCAGTCAGTTCATATCAGTTGTGTTTTATCAGTGATGGTGTATTCAAAAGCATGGCCTCAGTTAACAATTCTTCCTACCAAACAATATTTTAAATGTATTTTTCTTATGAGATAATATCTGATTTCCTTTAATAAAATATGAAAGGGATTGACCCTGAATTAATACAGGCTGATAATTATTCCTTCAGTTCAGGTCAGGTCAGTCACTCAGTCATGCCCAATTCTTTGCAACCCCATGGACTGCAGCAGGCCAGGAATAACAGGAATAGCAAATTATTCCTTGTTTATGTAAAATGCCCCCCTTTTAAGCCAGGGAACTTTTTTATATTTTTTTATTACTTTATTTTTAAGTGTTGGTTTTTCAGGGATGAAAAACACAGACTTTTCCCTAAGTAACAGTATTAGAACAAGAACAAATATGTTGTCAAGCAGCATCTGGACAATCTCAACAGTGATGAGATTTCCCCTTCACTCTCTGATTTGAGATCATAATGTTTAACCTAATATTTAAGCATTTCATTCCGAGGTCCCAACCCAATTTACAGAGCTGAAGCAGAGAATCGAATGCGTGGAAATGTGGCAGTATTTCATGCTTCTCTGTTTTGTCTTCAGCAAGATTGAAAACTACACTCATCAATTTTTAAAACTGATTTCCTTCAGATCAGCGTGAAGTTTGGGACATTTTATAGATCTTTTCAGGTTAGAAAGGAAAAACAAACAGTACAAAGTAAAATGACACTGCTTTAAGTATTAATATCATGCATCTGTATATGCAAAGAGGTTCCCAGTCGGCTTAGCTCAGTTCATTTGCTCAGTCGTGTCCTACTCTTCGCGACCCCAGGTGACTCAGTGGTAAAGAATCCGTCTGCAATGCAGGAGATCCCCGTTCGATCTCTGGGTTGGGGAAGATCCCCTGGGAAAGGAAATGGCAACCCACTCCAGTATTCTTGCCTGGGAAATCCCATGGACAGAGGAGCCTGGCGGGTTACAGTCCAGGGGTTCCCAAAAGAGTGGGATACGACTTAGCAACTAAACAACATACATGGAGGAAAGAGTTTAAGGAAATAATTCAAGGAAATATACACGCCTGTCCTTCATACTGCAAAATTAACCCCTACTGACCTCATTTTGAACGGGCAAATGCAACTCCTTAATATTAGGTAGGAAAACAAACAAAAAACACCTCCTGGACTGAATTGCGCGACCTAAGTTGGCTTTGAACCCACAGACTACAGCTCCCAGCATGTCCCCGTGAGCCGCAGGTGATTAGGAGCGACTAGAACTCCATCTCCCGGCGTGCCTTGGTCCCACGCGTGATTTGCTACGGAGAGAACTACATTTCCCGGCATGCCGTAGGGGTGGAGTTGGGAAGGACTCCCGCTCTCCAGCCTCCCTGACTTCTCCTTGTCGGTCCGGTCCCTCCCTGAAGAGGATGGAGGTGGCCAGCGGCGTTGCAGCTCCGGAACCCGGCGAGATCCGGGCTCTAAAGCAGTGTCTGCTGCGCCGCAACAGAAGCCGGGAACAGCATGGCGTAGCGGCCTCTTGCCTCGAGGAGCTGAGGAATAAGGGTAGGCACGGGACCGGGGCGAGGGCTTGGGGGGCTGGAGCCCGGGATGAAGGGAGCCAAGGGCAGGGTGAGGATGTCCGACGGGGCTAACCGAGATCAAGAAAGGCGACTTGGGGCTTCTTGTAACTCAAGTGGAGGAGCCTTGGGATAGATATGACTCACGTGGGTATAGCGACTTATCAGTTTCACAGCGTTTGTGCCAAGCGCTTTAACTTAATTTACTTTATGTGAGATTCATATGGTGGAAAGGCAGACGGAAGCAATATGCAAATGAATTAAAACAGACTCTACTTCGGTGTCTTGCCTCCGGTGACTCAGATTGTGGATCCAACCCAGCCTGGTGTATTCCTGCCTCTCGGGCTCCCTAAGGTGGTACTGGGGCCCCCAGGTGAGCCTACGGCGAGGTGGGGGCGGGTTTCCACCGCCAGCTCTAGCAGGTACCTGTGCGGTAAAGAGGGAGCCGCTACCCAGCGGCCCAGAGGTCCAGACAAGGAACAGCTGCTGTGAGTGACCTAGCTTTCAAAAGTTCTGAGCCTCATACAGTTACTAGTTGCCTGACCTTGCAGGTAACCATCTGTTGATCCCCAATTTTCTCATCGGCAAAGTGGCTATATTTCCAGCCCTGCTTCTTTGAATTGTTGGGACTCTACAAGGAGATGACATATTCAAATGACTTACAGGTCTTTAGCCTGTAGCAATAAATTGTTTACCGAAAGAAGTTCTTTAGGTTAAACGTGTGAGTCATCCGTAGGCAGGTAGTGAAGATGTATGTCTGCCTGTTCAGAGCTTCCTCCCAGAGTCGCTCAACCCAGCCGGTATCAGATAGAAGTCTTTCAGAGACACAGAATCAGCCAAAGCACTCTAAATGCTTCAGTGTCATAGCTTTTGCCATATAAGTGTTTACATATTTTTTCTTGGCGTGAGGGTTTTTAAGTTTTAGTGCCCCTTTAGTGCAGTTGCACTTGGCACAGAGGCCCATATAAGTGCTTGTGTTTCTGGAGCTTGGCCTATGCAGGGTTTGCTGGGTGCAAGAGGATATTGCCCGATGATATTTGTAGTCTCTCGGCTACTTCTCTGCATGCTCTAGTCCCATTAGCATTTTAGGCATTGAAATCATTAGGCAAGTACAGACCTGCCCTGGACAAAACCTCTTGCCCATTGATCACACAGATGAAAATTTCCTGTTACAAACTTCTGTCTTCTGCCTCCTTTATACTTTTCTATAGGTTAGTAAGACTGTGAAGAAGATACTGCAAAAACATATTTTTTTCTTTCTTTTTTAAAATTTTCTTTTTCTCTGGACACATGGGAGAATTTGAGTCATTTAGACCACAGAGAAAATGAACGAAAGACACTTATTCTCAAAGAATCAAATCAGACTTTTGTTGGTTGTTCATCCAAGGAAAGAATCGAGTGCCTCCTAATGAGGGTGTTGAGTAGCTGGAAGAAAAACGTTTTCAAGAGCCAGACTGTGTGGGTTTAAATGCCAGTTACTTACTGTGTGACCTTGAGCAAGTTACTTAACCTCTCAGAGCGTTGGGTTTGACATCTGTAAAAATGGGAGTAATAATAGTACCTACCTTACAGGATTGTTATGAGATTAAGTACTGTATATGAAAAGCACTTCGTATAGTACCAGGCACATGGTAAATGTTGTATGAGTATTAGTGGTCATCATTATAGTTATTATTAGCTACCAGGGATTTTTCTAGGCTCTGGGGGCATACATACTGAGTACAAAGACAGATATAATTTCCCTATGGATATTTGTCAATTGCCAAATATTTTATTCCTCTCAGCTTGTGACATTCTGGCCATTGATAAGTCCCTGGCACCAGTAACCCTAGTCCTGGCAGAAGATGGCACCATAGTGGATGATGATGATTACTTCCTGTGTCTTCCTGCCAACACTAAGTTTGTGGTGTTGGCTGGGAATGAGAAGTGGACACACAATTCAGGTAAGAAATGCTGGCCGTACATACAGCATACCCTCCATCGTGATTCACTTTACTACGCGCGGCACCTGGTTGCTCTTTGGTTGGCTGTTTCAGAATTTATGCAGCAAGCGTTACTGAGCACCTTCTGTATGCCGGAGTGACGCTGAGTCGGGGGATGAAGATGAATGAGATGGGGTCAGGTCTCAAGTAACTCACGGACCCACAGCAACTAAAACACAGCAGGGCGGAGAGATCTGGGCCTCAGGTGGGGTCAGACTGCCTGATCTGAATCCCAGCTCTGCCATTTACTAGTCATGTGACCCAGAGCAAATTATCTAACTTCTCAGCCCCTTATTGAGATAGTAATTTCAGTACCTGTCTCCTCGGGTTGTTGTAAGGATGCGAGAACATAGTACGTATCAAGCCAGGGCTTCTCAGCAATGCTATTGATATGTTGGGCCAGGAAATTCTTTGCTGTGGGGGTGCTGTCCTGTGCATTGTAGGATTGCTGGCCTTTACCCACTAGGTACCAGTAGCATCTCCTCACCTTAATCGTGACAACCCAAAATGCCCCTAGATATTGTCACATGTCTACAGAGGTGTGGTGAGCAGAATCACTCCCAGGAAAGAGCCACTGATAGAAAGCATTTAGATCTTATCTGGCATGCTGCTGCTGCTGCTAAGTCACTTCAGTCATGTCCGACTCTGTGCGATCCCAGAGATGGCAGCCCACCAAGCTCCTCTGTCCCTGGGATTCTCCAGGCAAGAATACTAGAGTGGGTTGCCATTTCCTTCTCCAGTGCATGAAAGTGAAAAGTGAAAGTGAAGCCGCTAAGTCGTGCCCGACTCTTAGCGATCCCATGGACTGCAGCCTACCAGGCTCCTCCATCCATGGGATTTTCCAGGCAAGAGCACTGGAGTGGGGTGCCATTGCCTTCTCCGCTTATCTGGCATACAGTCAGATAAATCAGTATTAACTGTCACTACCATCACCGTCATCCTCACCGGCAATACAAAGGGAACTAATATGAATGAACAAGGATCAAAAAGCTAAAGAAGTGTCTTGAGGAGAGTCCCCAGGCCACCAAAGTGTGGAAATCACCCTTCAGCAGTGACTCTTCCAACCACCTTTTTACTCGGGCTCTAGGGACAGCAAATAGTGGCTGCAGCTCCTCCAATCAAGAATGAGACCTGAACTTTCCTGGTGATCCAGTGGCTAAGACTCCAAGCTTCTAATGCAGGGGGCCTGGGTTCAATCCCTGGTCAGCAAGCTAGATCCCCAATGCTGCAACTAAGACCCTGTGCTGCCAAATAATTTAATTTAAAAAAAAAAAGAATGAGACTCATCCGGACATTTAGGGAGTTTGGGATGAACATGTACACACTGCTGTATTTAGAATGGATAGCCAACAAGAACCTACTATACAGCACAGGAAACTCTGCTCAATGTTATGTGGCAGCCTGGATTGGCAGTTGGGGGAGGACGAATACATGTACGGCCGAGTCCTTTTGCTGTCCACCTGAAACTGTCACAACATTGTTAATCGGCTATACTCCAATACAAAATAAAAAGTTTAAAAAGAGAGAGAGAGAGAGAGACCCATCCCCAAGCACAGAGAAATGCTGATGAGGAGGAATGTTTTTGGATATGGAAATAGACAAAAAACTAACCTAAAGGGAAGAATGGTGGCATCCTGGGTATGCATGACCATACACTGGATTTAAGTGGCTTCTTTCCATAAAAGAATACAGAGCAGTTTCACACAGAAATAGATGGAAGATGGAACAAGTGGGAAAGTTAAGGCCCTAGATGGGGATTGGTTTTCCCATGAATCCCTGAGAAAAGGTGCTTCCTTCAGCATCGAAATTATTCTAAATGATCAGTCGGAAGGACGTGCTGACATTCTGGAGGTCTGAGTTGGGGGAGGAAGTGAAAAGAGCACTGCAGGTTAATCTGACTCTTAACTGGCATTTTCTCCCTGTATCAGATGGAGGTACAGCTTGGATTACCCAAGAGTCCTTCGACAGAGATGAAACAGACAGCGGGGTGGGGTTGAAGTGGAAAAACGTGGCCAGGCAGCTGAAGGAAGATCTATCCAGCGTCATCCTGCTGTCCGAGGAGGAGCTGCAGGTGAGCGTCCCCCGCAGCATCCCCCTGGCCTCTGCTGCACTCTGCGTCCTAGTTTCCATGCATCTTGCCGCCATAATTTCATTATTCCTTCATTTTTAAGTAGTTCTCAGATGATAGCCAAGATTCTTCATTTTTCTAATTTTCTTTCTTGGAGTAGAAATTTTTTACTCCTCACTCTGCATCAGAATCACCAGTGGAGCTTTTTTTAAAAAATACAGATGCCACAGCCCCACGTAGACTATTCAGGCCCAAGGGTGGAACAGGAGGTACTGCTAAAGAAGGTGAGTTAAATCTCAGCTCCATCAAAAAGACTGTAGCCAGTCACTTACCCTCTCTGCTTACGTTTACTCTCCAGTAAAATTGGGGTAAAAATAGTATGTGATAATTCAGAAAAATTTATTGAACCCCTTCCCTGTATGTGGCATAGTTCTTTGCACAGGGTTACAGGGCTTCCCAGGTGGTGGCAGTGGAAAAGAACCCGCCTACCAAAAAAAAAAAAAAAGAACCCGCCTACCAATGTAGGAGACCTGGGTTCAATCCCTGGGTCGGGAAGACCCCCTGGAAGAGGGCATGGCAAGCCACTCCAGTATTCTTGCCTGGAGAATCCGCATGGACAGAGGAGCCTGGTGGGCTCTAGTCCATGGGATCTCAAAGAGTCAGGCAAGACTGAAACAATTACCACCCACAGTGGTGAACAAGCCAGACACAGTCCCTGCTCTGATGAAACTCTAATTCTGGTGGAAGGAGGCGGACAAAACCAGCAGTGTGCCCAGAGGGTGGGGGCTACTCTAGATTGGGAGATTAAGGAAGTCTCCTTGAAGGAGGTGGCCTTTTGGTTATTTTTTAATCTTGTATATTTATTTTGAATAAATAATACTAATACATTCACATGGTTCAAAATCCAAGAGACACAGCCGAAAATAAAATAATCCAAATGTCCCATCAGCTGATGAATAAATAAAATGTTGTCTATCCAAATAATGAACTATTTTATTCAGCCATAGGAAGGAATGAAGTATTAATACATTAGGCTTCCCTGGTGCCTCAGACAGTAAAGAATCTGCCTGCAATTCAGGAGACTCATATTTGATCCCTGGGTCAGGAAGATCCCCTGGAGGGGGGAATAGCAACCCACTCAAGTATTCTTGCCTAGAGAATCCCATGGACAGAGGAGCCTGGTGGGCTACCATCCATGGGGTTGCAAAGAGTTGGACAGGACTTAGCACCTAACAGTGACAACAGCGTGGAGAAACTTTGAAAAGATTGGGCTGAGTGAAAGAAGCCAGACATGAAAGGACACAGATTTCATGATAGCATTTTTATGAAACGGCCAAACTGTCCAAGTCCTTAGAGATAGACGGTAGATTAGTGGTTGCTTGGGGGTTGGGTTTCTGGAGACTGTGAGGAGGAATGGAGAGTAACTACTGATGGGTACAGTTTTTTCTGGGCTGGTGACTGTGTTCTAGACGGTGGTTGTGACTGCACAAAACACAAAAAAGCCCACTCATTTTACTAAACTCCACTCATTTATATGCTTCAATCAGTGAATTGTATGGTTTGTGAATTATATCTCAATAAAGCTGTTTGGAAAAAACAGATATACAGAAAAAGTCTGACTTCTGTCCCCAGCCACCCAGCTTTCCTTCCTAGAGACAACCAATCTGTCAGTTTACAATTCCAGAGATAATTTATATATGCTATCGCTCAGTCATGACCAATTCTTTGCAACACCAGGCTCCTCTGTCCATGGAATTTATCAGGCAAGAATACTAGAGTGGGTTGCCATTTCCTACCCCAGGGGATCTTCCCAACCCAGAGATTGAACCCAAGTTTCCTACATTGGCAGGTGGATTCTTTACCACTGAGCCACCTGGGAAGCCCATTTTATATACAATTACATAAATATGTTCTCCTCTTCCATTTTCATCACATAAATGGAAGCATAGGTATTCTATTTCAAAGAAAAACTTGGCACGTTTTCCAGATCACTTTACAAAAGATAGTTTGTTCTTTTTTCATCGCTGCATAGTATTCCATTTCATGCCTATATTTTTCTATTTATTTATTTTGCTGTGCCAGGTCTTAGTTGTGACATGCAGGATCTTTAGTCAAGGCATGTGAACTCTTGGTTACAACATTTGGGACCTAGTTCCCTGACCAGGGATTGAACCCAAGCCCCCTGCGTTGGGAAAGCAGACTCTTAGCCACTGGACCATCTGGGAAGTCCCACCATAACTTATTTAATGAGTCTCCCCAGTGGGGGACATGCAGGTTGTTATCAGTCTTGCTATTCAGTCTGTACTGCAAAAACACTTAGACCCGTGTCATTTTGCACAGGTGCTTGTCCATAGAATAAATTCAAAGAAGTTTAGTTGAGAAACATTGGCAGGTCCCAAGAGGGGACACAGAAATAAACTGAAGAACTAAAGGTACCTGCCATGGAAAAGTTAGGGCCAGGCAGAGGAAAGGCAGGAATTTTTTCTTCTTTGTTTTTTTCTTCTTTAAGAAACAGAAAGGGGTCATGAGATCCCTTCCCATCCCAACAGACTAGCAAATTATGATACCCTTAGGATAAAGGGCATAACAGTCCTCACCAGAACAGGGATGCTGGAATACAAGTGAACCCAGCCCTGAGAGCTAGACTCTGCAGAGGCTGGCCACGTGGCAGGTGGGAGAAAAATGGCAGGTAAAGAACCATGGGGAGTGAGAACGGAAGGGAGAGAAGGGAAGAGCACAGGATCCTAAGGATTAGCACTGACACTGATCCTTGCAAAGTTATTAACTGCTCTTGCCTCATTTTCCTCATCTGTGAAATGGTGGTAATACTAGTACTTCCCTCATAAAGTTTGTGCCTCTTAAATGTTGGACCTTATGAATGTGTATTAATATTACCTGTTCAAAAATGGATGCAATCTGAAAGTTAAGGGTTACGGGTGACTTATCAAGTGGCCTCCTCAAAGAAGCCTTTCACAAACTCCAGAGCCCTCCTTGTCAATTTCTGCCCTAAGCATTTTACGTCTGTTTTCTCAGTGGTGCATAGTGAGTGCAGCAGGTGGGATTTTAGTGTCCCAACTAGGGATCAAATCCAAGCCCCCTGCAGTAGAAGTGCAGAGCCTTAACCTCTAGACCACCAGGGACATCCTGTTTTGTTTTTAATAAGGTACTAAAGGCAACATTTTCCTAATTCTTTCACCAGAGGGAAACTGGAAAAATTACATGCCTCTCTCCTGGCTCTCAAGCTTTCCAGGTGGCACTTCCCAGGTGGTAAAGAACTTGCCTGCCGGCGCAGGAGGCTTAAGAGACGAAGTTCAGTCCCTCAGTCAGGAATATCCCCTGCAAGAGGATTCTTGCCTGGAGAATCCCATGCACAGAGCAGCCTGGCGGACTACAGTCCATGAGGTCACGAAGAGTCAGACACAACTGAAGAGCCTTAGCACAGCACAGCACAGCACTCCTGACTCTCAGGCAGCCATATTGGGTAACTTTGGGAACTAGATGAAATGAGTCTTTGAAATTGATGCACTTGAGAGACATAACATCATGTTCGGAAAGTACTTTCAGATGTCTTAAAGCCAGTATTTGTTTGTCAGATGCTCATTGATGTCCCATGTTCGGAGCTGGCTCAGGAACTCGGCCAAAGTCATGTGGCAGTCCAGGGGCTCCAGAACACCCTCCAGCAAGTTCTTGACCAGAGAGAGGAAGCCCGTCAGTCCAGGCAACTTCTGGAACTTTACCTCCGGGCTTTGGAGAAGGAAGGTGGCATCTTGTCAAAGCAGCAAGGTAGGCATTGTGCTGACATCTCGGTAGGAGCCTTTCCTTGAGAGAGAGCCAGGTGCTTCCCATGTGCTCAAGAAGAGTGATGCCACAACTGTGGGTGTTCTAAGATGGCAGGCTGCTATCTGCCCGCCTGATTGCTCTGACGGGTTGTTGGGTTGGCTGTGTGTACGCGTGGCATGCTGATGGACCCTCTCTCTCACATCTGCTTTGCAGAGTCCAGAGCTGACCTCGGAGACGAGAGGGATGCTGTTGACACAGGCGTTAGAGAGAGCTCCTCCAAAGTTACTCCTGCAAGCCAGATCCTCTTGGCGCTGAAGGAGAAACCTGCCCCAGAGCTGAGTTTGTCTAGTCAAGATCTGGAGGTGGGCGAGCACCAGGGACCCTGACCTTTGCAGGGAGACACTTGTATCAGGGTTTTTTCACCTCTGCAGACCCTGAATCATAGCTGCCAATTTGCCTGTTATTACAATCTAAGCTTCCCTTGTAGCTCAGTTGGTAAAGAATCCGCCTACAATGCAGGAGACCCAGGTTTGATTCCTGGGTTGGGAAGATCCCCTGGAGAAGGAAATGGCAACCCACTCCAATATCCTTACCTGGAGAATCCCATGGACTGTAGCCTGTCAGGCTTCCCTGTCCATGGGGTCGCAAGAGTTGGACACGACTTAGCAACTAAACCACCACATGCAAAGCGTTTGCAAATGTCTCACATAATCTAAATCTTAAACAAAATGGGTGCGCTTCCTCAGATCATCCGACCTTATTCTCTGGTCCAGAGTAGGTAATGAAATGTCTGACCCCGACAGGGGGAAGTTACAGGACTCAGGCTTCTGAGATGCATCTGCCAGTGGTTGAAAAAGATCCACAGCCCAGAGGTACATGAAATATTCATGGGAAGGACCTGTGCAACGGGGTTGTCTTGTCCTGACTCTCAGACCAGGAAACCCATCAGAGTGGGTGCTCCTCCTTGTCCCTGTCCCCAGCACTACCTCAGTATAGCTAGAAGGGAAAGAGGCTGTATTGAATTGAACTTGGCTAAATTTCCTGCGAGTGGAGGACTTTATGCTCCAAGTAAACTACTCTAGAGGTCCTTTCCTGTTGTTGTACAGTAAGCAGAGGCCTGTGACAGCTTAATAGGAAGGAAACCTGGCATCTCAGCATAAAGCTAGAGACCGATACTGCCAATTCTCACCTCCCCTAAAGAAAATCGCAAGAGCAGCAGAGGGGCTGGTTCACAGTGGTTCTTCTTCTCACTGCAGTTGGTTGCCAAGGAGGACCCTAGAGCACTGGCTGTTGCTTTGAACTGGGACATAAAGAAGACAGAAGCCGTTCAACAGGCCTGTAATCAGGAACTTAGCCTACGCCTCCAGCAGGTGCAGAGCTTACGTTCTCTGAGGAGCATTTCAGCAAGGACGAGTTCACTGCCTGGAGACATGGAGAACCCCAAACGAACCAGACGAGACCCCATGTAGCTGGCAGCCAGCAACATGCCAAAGAAAACCTTGGGTTTTGTGTCAGTATCAGTAAATACCTTTAGCCTAGTGTTAGTAAATACCTTTAGCCTAATCATTATAGCTACTTACATACTCCTCTGCCCCCTGCCTTTCAGAGTGTTCTCCTGGAACAGACTGGAAGATGGGCTTTGGGTCTTCTTCAGAAAAGCCATTCCAGCTTCCTTCACACATTGAACCATAAGGCTGCACCAGCTCCTCTAATTGCAAGCTCATATGTTCTCGGTGTAATAGTGGTTGTGAAGGGCGTGGAAAAGACACTGTCATGTTTCAGACCAACTATCCTTTTTTTTTTCTTTTCCTTCTACATCAGACAAATGGTATATCTCTTTCATGATGTAATCTATGCAACCATCATAGTAATGGACCTACTATTCTTTTCCTTTTTTTTTTGATGTGGACCATTTTGAAAGTCTTTATTGAATTTGTTCCAACACTGCTTCTGTTTTCTGTTTTGGTGTTTTGGCCCCGAAGCATGTTGGATCTTAGCTCCCTGACCAGTGATCAAACCCAAACCCCTGGCATTAGAAGGCAGATTCTTAACCACTGGACCTTCACGCAAGCCCAGACGCACAATTCTTATTCTAAAGATGGAACTGCAGAATTTTAAACACAAATAATGGTAGAGAAGGTGACGCATCAGTGTTGATTATGGCCACAAACTTGTTTCTCAAGTTAATGAATTTTTTTTGTTTGTTTAAAGGCACATATTAAATTTGCAGACCATAGGGACATACAGAGAGTCTAATTCACTGTTTCTAATATCTAATTCAGTATTGTGAAATTATATCCATTACCACTGTGAAACTTTTCAGTTTTCTAATATGTTTTATCAGCAGGGGGTATAAAAAGGTCATTAAATCGATCTCTGTGAGATACGACTCCAGGTCTCTCTGGGTGCAGAACAGAGACTTCTGGTTTATATTCCTCTTGTTTCTGTACTAACTTGTTCTTCAAGTTTTGTAATCTACAATGCAATTTCTCTTGCAGGGAAAAAGATAATTAGTTATTGACTTATTTGACTTACTTTTTAAGCATACTTAGAGGAAAATGGAATAGTATTAAGAATACATTGGCTAATTATTAAATAAAGAAATGTAACAATAAGTCCTAAGGTGAGGCAGAGATGCAAAAAACAAACAGAACAAAAAGAGCTATTTGCTTCTCCTATGACCTTCCTCAAGGAGGGCTCAGGTCTACTCAGCATACTCCTACTAATGCCTTATGCCATTGGTTCTCACTTGCCCCAATATTTTCTTCTTTAATAGCATATTTTATAATGCCTTCTTAATTATCCTTAAATGAAAGCCAGAGCTGCCTTCTTAATTATCCTTAAATGAAAGCCAGAGCTGATAACCTACCTACATGTATACCTTCATCAACACAATACCCCCAAATGGAAACAAAGGAAAATAATTTTCAGTAAGATGGTCTGTATCTATCTCAGTTTGCCCTTTTCCATAGATGACCATTAAAAGGCACAAGGAAGCTCTCAGGTGCTTATCCTTACAAGTGAATTACCCTGAGTTTGTCAGAAGCAGCCATGCATGGTACATAGTGATTGGTGACTCAAATTCCACAAGCAGTATTGCCCTTCGTAATGGGAGTTCCCAAAATTGTGACGTTCTGGGCAGTCTAACACATCTGTCCTTGATTTACAAGGTGGCTGCATTCTTGACAAAGCCAGGAGATGTTAAAACTGGAAAAAATACTTTGTATATAAAACAGAATTAGGTTTGGCGCTGATTTGGAATGGGTTTTCATTCCTGTGAACAGCCAGCATGACATAAAAGTCATGTGGTGGGGGTGGGAGGAAAGACACGTGGGATCTGGAATGATAATTCACTATGTTGAACTGTCCTGTGCTTTGCAGGAAGACTAGCAGCCTACCTCCCACCCCACCCATCCAGTGTCAGTAGCAGCCTCCAGGTACTGAGACAGTTGACAAGAGCCCCCAGGTTCTCAAAATGCCCCTGGAGGGACAGTAATGCCAGTTGAGGATTTTTATGACAGTTTGCAGTCAGCTCTGTGCCAGCACCTACTACACTGGAGCCTCAAAACTGAGTGAGCTAAAGAGGGTGTGGTGTGCCATCTCTCATTTTGCACATGAGCAAAGTCATGCTCAAGAAGGATCAGTGACTTGACTCATGTCACAAGGCTAATTGGAGGGCCAGGGTTCAAAGGCAGGTCTTTTGGCTTAATTTTGGTTTGGGGTTTTGGTTTTTTTGGCCATACCACCCAGCTTGTGGGATCTTAGTTCCCCATCCAGGGATTGAATCTGGGCCCTTGGCAGTGAAAGCACAGAGTCCTAACTACTGGATCACCAGGAATTCCCAGATCTTCTGGTCGAAATCCTGGTGGTCTCTCCACTTGCATTTTCTCTTAAGTCTACATACTCTTCCACTCTACATCCAGATCACTGGTTCTGTTAATTTGTAGTTCAGTCACTCAGTCATGTCTGACTCTTTGTGACCCCATGGACTGCAGCACACCAGGCTTCCCTGTCCTCCCCTATTGTTTTGTTAATACCAAAATAGTAAGTTGAATTCAGCTCCAAATGGAAAAGACCTAGTATGTTTGCAACATGACTGCTAAAAGATTTCTGAATGTAGCCCTAGTGCTGGTAGTGTAAAAGAAGTAAATCAGCCTTGGGAACACTGTAGTCAGCACAGTGGCAGAGGAAGCCTGGGTTCCAGAAATAATGGAACAGCATCTCTATCTAACAGCCGTATCAGCAACTATCTCTAATCACCAATTTTATCAGCGCCTCCATCTTTGCCCTACTGAATGAAAAATGTTTTCTTCAGTTATTTCCACCAAATACACAGTAGAGCTTTAGTTGATGGGCCAGGTGTTGGTGTTGGTCTTCTGTATTAGAAACAAACCTGCTGAGCATCTCAGCTGCGTAGGAGAATAGAAAAAGTACTTTGGCCTTTGGAACGAGACAGACCCACATGGAGTCTAACCTTATGGGACAGTGGTTTCCAAAAATGAAAGGTTAGCCTAAGGCCCCAAGGTGGAAGGGGTTAAATTAAATGAAGGAAGTTGGAGGATATCACCGACTCAATGGACATGAGTTTGAGCAAGCTCTGGGAGATGGTGAAGGACAGGGAAACCTGGCGTGCTGCAGTCCATGGGGTCGCAAAGAGTCAGACAAGACTGAGCGGTTGAACAAGTATGAGGAAGAGCACAGTTTACCAGCACAGCGTATAGAGTGAATGGTTCCCTTTCATTGCCCCAGGGCCAGAGAGAGGTGGGTGGGAACGGAGACCTTAGTCTGCAAACCCTAGACCAAATGTAGAGTCAAAAGTTATTTTGCCCCAGGTACCGCTTACCTCCCCTACACCACTGTGCCTCCAGGCCTTCTAGAATAGAACGTAGCAGCAGAGCAATAGTCTAAAAATAGGAGAGAGAGAGAGGGAGCAGGGCACAGCCTATGTTAGGAGGAAAGACTGTCAAAGAAAGCAACTGGGACTAATGAACTCTACATTAGCCATATTCCATTCTTTTGACTCAAGTCAAATGTCGGTCCCCATTAGGCAATTGGCTTTGACAGGAGCCATGCTAATTACCACTTACCAACCTTTAATTTCTGGGTAAAAGCAAAAGGAAAAAAAACTAATGGATTTTTCATTTTCCAGAAAGAAAGGAATAAAATAATAGTAGTCTGTTAAAAAAATGCATTAATTATAAGAATTATTAATGTGCCTTTACTCACCAGATTTTTTAATTTCCTAATTAACTTTTATTATCTCTTTTTTTTTTTTTTTTTGCCTTCAGTATTTCTTTTCCTATTTTGTTGTATTTTGCCTTAAGTTATTTTGGCTGTGTCTTATATTACTTGAGGTTTTTAAGGACCTTAGAAATTATCTGCTCCAAATATCCACTGCCTGAATCTGCTACACAGCTGACAGGGTGAGGTCCTCTGCACTGTCAGGAAGCCCCCAGTAAAAGGAACAGATCCCCTCCTCCCCAGGAAATGCACTGAATTTTCAGATCGCACATCCTTAACATTGGCTGTTTGGTCAAACTAAGTCAGACAACACTTCCACAATTATCAATACAAGGAGGTAACCAACAGGTTACTGCAGAGCTATGAGATTTTCTTCAGTATTCTCTAACACCATGTTACAGGAACTATCACCATGAAAATTCTAGCTTTTCTCCAGCTTACAGTTATTTTTAAAATAGTTTATTTATTTATTTATCTGTCCGTGCCAGGTCTTAGCTGTGGCACACAGGATCTTTTAGCCGTGGCATGCGAACTCTTAGCTGCAGCATGTGGGATCTAGTTCCCTGACCAGGGATTGAACCCAGGCCCCCTGCATTGGGAGCATGGAGTCTTAGACAGGTGACCACCAGGGAAGTCCCAACTTACAATTATTTTAATAAGAACAGAACGTGTATCTTTTATCACTTAACTATTTAATTATAGACAAAAAGGATAAATTAATGTTTTTATTAAAGTTATGAGAAGCTAGAAAAGGGGTTACCCAGTGTCTTTGCCTCGTTCTTTCTAGCCTAGGAATAGGAACTTCCTTCTTAACAGCTGAGTGACATATCCTCTTCTGATTTCTTTAAGATCAAATCCCTGTCTCTCCTGAAGAAGCTGCCGTTATTAAGATGTAGGTAGTCCCTTCAGCAGGCGCTGTCAAGTCAAGGATATGTATCCCCCATGAGCTCACATGCTAAGTTTCCACTGAAATGGTTTGCTGTCAGCCCTAACATTCGAATACTATGAAAGGACTTCTATTGAATGCTTATGTCACATCAGTTCTTCCTTAGCAGTTAAGGATCTACTCTGGTGACAAATACTGGAAACAAATGTGAGAGAATGAGTTAGCAGCCATCCAGGCCTTGATGTCCTAGATCTGCACATTTAACTATACTGAACTACACAAACGCAGATGAATGAAAGTCGCTCAGTCGTGTCTGACTCTTTACAACAGCATGGACTATACAGTCCATGGAATTCTCCAGGCCAGAATACTGGAGTGGGTAGCCTTTCCCTTCTCCAGGGGATCTTCCCAACCCAGGGATCGAACCAGGTAGGATTAAAGTCTACCAAAAACCTGATGGTAGGAAATTACCCTAGTTTACTAATGATGAGCATGTTAATCTAGTCTAGCATGCAGTTGATGCCAGTTTACATTTTTCTAAGGCCCCTGAACTAAGGTGGGCTTAAACTTGATGGATTTCCTGGAGGTGCCATTAAGGTAGCCGCATTTCCTTCGATATTGCTTAGTTAAAAGCTCCCATCTCTGAACTTTCCCGGTGCTCCTCCTGCCAATAGAGGGGACACAGGTTCGACCCCTGGTCTGGCAAGATCCCACATGCCATGGGGCAACTCAGCCCATGCCCCACAGCTCCTGAGCCCACCCACCCTAGAGCCCAGGCACCAGTGCTCTCTTGGTGACAGCACTGCAGTGAGAAGCCTGACACACAATGAAGAGTAGCTCTCACTCGCCGCAACTAGAGGAAGCTCACTCACAGCAACAAGGACCCAGTGCAGCCAGAGATAACATTTAGTTTTTTAAAAAGTTAAAATCCCTAATCCTAAAGAATGTGTACGTATGGCCCTAAGCAAAACTGAAAGACAGTGAGCATGCTTTTCTTCTAGAAGAATCTTAAATCCTGAAGGTCAGCTGGCCTTTCAGGCAGGCATCTTCCACCAGTGTGCTGACCCACTTGCAGGTCCCTGAAAGCTGCTGTGTTTGAAAATGAGGAGGCTATTAAGACTCTTCCATCACATTATACTTCACTCAGCTAGTAATTACGAATATGAGCTTAGCTCTGTGGAAGACGGAAAGGAACGGTCAGCAGTCATACTTTGTGAGTCTGTTCCCCTGGTATCCAGAGAAGAAAACATCCTCTCAATGCCTTCCAGCCAGCCTTTGCCAGTTTTCCTGATACTAATCCTGACCATCAGAAACTTTCCTTAACTCCTGGTAGGAATCTCTAAGCTTTAAAGTTTAGCATCTAAAAAAACCACATGCTGGAAGTTTTCTTTAGCATCTAGGATTTAAGAGCTGTAAACAAGGTGTGTAATCAAGGAAGGATTCCGGGGCTAATGGGGAGTATTAAAATTTGATTAGGGTTTGAACCTGAGCATGTGTTTACTCCCACCTCCATCTGAGCAGACCCAGATCCTGGTCGAGGTGAGGCTCAACAGTTGCTTTGTGTTCTCTTTAACAGAAAGAGAAAGGAGAAAGAAATCTCCCCCTCCTTTCACCATCATCCACTTACTTCTGTGGGAAATTATTGAGGAATGGGAAAATGAAACATTTATATACATAATAAATTTCAATACATATGCCTCTGTCTCAGACCAAGTCCAGATCCTGCGACTCTGTAGGTCCCAGAGTTTGTTTGTTTTTCTGTTTTCTTTGACCTTGAGGCCTGGCTTGCAGAATCTTGCTTCCCCAACCAAGGATTGAACCCAGACCCTCAGCAGCAAAAGGGCAGAGTCCTAACCATTAGACCACCAGGGGATTTCCTGGAGGTCCTTGTATTAAAAGTTAAAGCAGTCAAACTACAGGCTGGGAAGTAGCACCACTCACTCTATTTGGTTTGAAATAAACCTGAAGCTCTCATCCATAAGAATTGCAACAGCAATATTAACTTACTGATTACCATTAGTATGGGTATTTTACAACAGCAGGTTCAAATGGAACTTTAAGCATGTCATCATGATGTTGTCTGTTTAATTATAGCATATTTGTTTTCAAATTAATTTTGGCCAAAATATGAGGGATAATCATTTTGCTCTTTGAGAACAGTGTTTAAAAATTGCTTTTAATATGAGGGAAATTCATTAGACAGTTTATATCAAAGTAAACTGAAATGTTATTCTGGACACTTAACTATGTAGTTTTTACCTATTATAAATCAAAGCAAGGAAGATGAGGAGAGAACAACTTCTAAGCACAATGAATGTGGAAGGAAAGCCCCATGATTGCATTGACAATAATGGCAAAAGCCACAAAAATCTTTATCAAAAATTCTCTTCTTTGATCAGACCTGTGGTTGCCAAGGGGATGGGGGAGGGAGGGAGATGGACTGGGAGTTCAGAGTTAGTAGATGCAAACCATTACATTTAGAATGAATAAACAAGTTTCTCCTCCGTAGTACAGGGAACTATATCCAGTTTCCTGGGATAAGTCATGATGGAAAAGAATATTTTTAAAATGTATATCATATATATATATATGTATGTGTGTATACATGGGTCACTTTGCTATACAGCAGAGATTGGCACAACATTGTAGGTCAACTCTACTTCAGTAAAAAATAAATAAAAATAAAATACTCTCTTTGGGTTCCAAATTACTGAAGACATCTAGTAGTAGGAGTTTTTAAAGTTTACATAAAACCTACTTTTCAAAGTACATGAGAAAGAGAAGACAACTGCACAAAGAAGAAACATCACAGCTGCTTATGAATACATTTTATTCAGATCCACTGTTACACTCCTTTGCACGAGTAGTTATGGGTGGGGTTTTACTTGCAGGAGGAGAAGGTCTTCCAAAAGAAATTCTTGCAGGGTGTTGTATCTTGGCGTGTGGACTGATGGAGGGGTGCGCCCTCCTGCCGTTTGGATTCCTTGCTGGCTTCCCCTCCTATGAAGGGCACTGCCCTGGCCTGGGAGGCCCACTCGTACCACCAAGCAAGCAAAGTCAACAGGCTGTTTGTCTTTATTTCTGCCACTTCCTGCATGTGCTTTTAAAAAGAAGCAGAGGACAAAGGAAAGACAAATCAATCATCTGATTCAGCCAGCATTAAGATATAATAATTCCTTCCTTTAAAAAAAAAAAATGCTCCAGAGCGACAAACCATATTTCCATTTAAAGGATGAGAAAGTTAAGGGACACGACTGAAACAACTTAGCATGCATACAAAGTTAAGAGAACACCTCAAGAGAATTACTCTAATCAGAGAAAAGAAAAACCTGAATATATTCAATCAAGAAAAAAAATCTGTTTTGCCCCTAATCTTTTTAATTATAAGAGGTTGGGAGATGTCTCCTTTTCCCTGACAAGTGACTGGCAGGTAAGAAGCCCCCCAAGTTAGATGAGGCTCCTTTCGCTTGGTTTCCCATCTCTCCATCTCAGGTCTTACTCCTGGCTGTCCACAAATTGATTTTAAAGACAGATCAGATTGAGACATTATATTCTGGCCTTTCAGACTCCTTAGAAAGCTTTAAGGAGTAATCTGATGATGAATGGCTTGTCTGGAACTCAGCTGCTAATTTCAGGGAAAAATCCATTTTTAATGGTCAACTTTATGTACTCTTTCTTGGAAGTTTTTCAAAATGAAAAAAAAGAGAAGTAAATCACCTCATTAAGTTACAACTTCTCACAATGGAAAATGTAATGATGTCAATTAATCTAAGCCAGTGAGAACCTGGGCTGTATGTATAAATTAAGATTCTACAAGTAAGTGTGACTAACGCCGCAGCAGCGGCAGCAGTAGACCAATTGCACTGCAGTAGGCCAGTGTGATGGCTTTGTGTTTCAAAGACTGGCAGATAGAGATCACTAGCTTGAAGACGCTCCCCTTAATGTCAGCGTTCTCCAACAAGTTTCCTAATGACTGAAGATGATGCTGAGTCAATGGTCTCTGTGAACATCACAGCACCGGGCAGCTGGGGGGCCATGGCAAAGTCCAGCCCAGGAGTCTGTGCTGTACACACACTCAGCCACAGAGAAGAGGGGGGACCCACAGGTGGCCAGATGTGCCAAGGGAAGGGACAGCTCACAAGAGGGTGAGCACACAGCCGAGTCAGTCTACTCACCCCGCTCTCGTGGCCGGCGAGGCTGCCCTCTGGGAAGAGGGCAGTGGCGGCCCCTGAGGGCAGCAGCAGCAGCGGCGGCAGCAAGCAGAGGGCCAGCATCTTGCAGGCTGGCTGGTACTTGTCTCTAGCTCTGGGGCTGCTCATCCTGCTTGGCAGCCCCTGAAACCAGTGCTTTGTGGACTTGAGTCTCTTCTCTGCAGACTGAGGGGGCTATTTTCAGCTCAACCTGCAGCTGTTTTTTTTTTATATATATGCCTATCTAAAGCCTGTACCCCCTCTCCCCTCACATTCAAGTGGTGACGCACAAGCCTGAGCAATCAGTGCTCACAAAAGTGCTTCAGGACTGGATTTAACCCCTTCATTAAAGCCTCAGCGCTCTTCCTGTGTCAAGAGTGGATTTGCTCCTACTTGGGGATGCATGTGTGCTTGCCTAGAAGTTCCACCTCCTCGCAATTATGCCAAAGCAATCAGGAAGTCATGAGAACAAAACCAAGTGATTTAACATAATACAAAATTAGCCCTGAATAAGGAGTTTATGGTGATGAAAACAGTCAATCCTAAAGGAAATCAACCTGAATATTCATTGGAAGGACTGAAGCTGAAGCTCCAATACTTTGGCCACCTGATGGGAAGAGCCAACTCACTGGAAAAGACCCTGATGCTGGGAAAGTTTGAGGGCAGGAGAAGGGGGTGACGGGATAAGACGGTTGGGTGGCATCACTGACTCAATGGGCATGAATTTGAGTAAACTCCGGGAGATAGTGGAAGATGGGGAAGCCTGGTGTGCTGCAGTCCATGGGGTCGCACAGAGTCAGACATGACTGAGCAACTGACCAACAAGGAACACCACCTGCTTCCCAAGTGGTGCTAGTGGTGAAGAATCTGCCTGCTAAAGTAAGAAACTAGGGTTCGATCTCTGGGTCAGGAAGATCCCCTGGAGAAGGGAATGGCAACCCACTCCAGTCTTCTTACCTGGAGAATTCCATTGACAGAGGAGCCTGGCGGGCTACAGTCCATGAGGTCACAAGAGAGTCAAACATGACTGAGCGACTAACATTTTCAACAACAAAGGAACTTAAAATCTGCAATTTTGCCCACATGAAAGAATGACTGAATCAGCTTGGGCAGAAGCAACAAGGAGATGGTGAGGACTCTGGGAGTCGCTCAGAGCATCCACTGGTCTCACCAGACCAGCTCGGGTCACCAAGTGCTGGTTCCCCACACCACCTCCCTGCCAGCAGGCCACGGTCCTCTGGCCCAGGCTTTCCCAAACTGTGATCACCTTTTGTTGGCATTCAATTGCCAAGTCGTGTCCAAGTCTTTGCCACCCCATGGACTGCAGCACTCCAGGCTTCCCTGTCCTTCACTATCTACTGGAGTTTGCTCAAATTCATGTCCATTGAGTCGGTGATGCCATCCAACCATCATCCTCTGTTGCCCTCTTCTCCTGCCCTCAATCCTTCCCAGCATTGGGGTCTTTTCCAATGAGCCAGCTCTTTGCATCAATCACCTTATTAAGGTGGAAATGCAGATAGATTCTTCTTTTCTTGGCCATACCTCGAGGCATGTGGAAATTCCCCGACCCAGGCCCGCTCCCCCCAATCTGCCCCCCATCACCCTGCCTCACCTCGCCCTGCCTGCAGTGGAAGCGTGGAATCTTAGCCACTAGACCCCCAGGGAAGCCTAATGAATGCCCTACACTTGACCAGCTCCCAGGGTCTCCTCTCCTTCTGACGACAGCTCCACTGCCGAGAATCCACATCAAGCTGTCTCTGCCACCCCTGGTTCCTCCTTGCAGGTCCCAGGTTCAGAATCACACAGACAAATGTATAGACCCTCTTCACCTGAGACAGCTAGGAAAATCAGAAACATCCACCACAAACCTACTAAGATGACGTTAGAGGCCAGGTTTTAAAGGGAAGTAAAGCGACCAAAGAACTGATGGCACGGTCCAGAAGTGAACGCTGACACTTTCAGTTTTCCAAAGTGCTGGTTCACACCCCTCCACAAGGGAAATCTCAACTTTAAATTTCATTGCACTGCACATTTGTTAAGATGCTAGGTAAGATTGGCACAGCCAAATGACCCACCGTGGGCCATAAAGTGCATCTTGCTTTAGTCCTTTTTCGGTACCCAAAATTTTTTTTTGCCTAATTCCCACAAATGATATTTTAAAACGTTTAGATTTTCTTAGGGCTTCCCTGATAGCTCAGATGGTAAAGAATCTGCCTGCAATGCAGGAGACCCCAGTTAAATTCCTGGGTTGGGAAGGTGCCCTGGAGAAGGGAAGGGCTACCCACTTCAGTATTCTTGCCTGGAGAATTCCAAGGACTGTATAGAGTCCATGGGGTCGCAAAGAGTCAGACAGGACTGAGTGCCTTTCACTTCCACTTCACTTTCATGTCTTTTAAATTTGAAACCAGTTCAACATTTTAAAAATTTAATGGGAAATAATGGAGGTAGAACCAGTTTGTTATCTACCATCTTGACTGAGCCACGAAATGTGAAGGAGGTGCATATAGTCCTTTCCCACTTTTTTCCTCTGAGTGTATTTTGATATATTTTGTATATATACTGTATATTCCATGAGGTCGCAAAAAGTCAGATATGACTGAGCAACTTTCACTTCAGATATTCTTACAGATGAGAGAATCATGGTAGCTCACCCAGCTTCTTATAGCTTTAGAATATTTTGAAGATTTTGTTCCATGAACTCATTGACCACTGAATACCTAGCGTGTACTACATAGAAGGACGAAGACCATCCACCCTGACAGGGCTGTTCCAGCCTCTCTAAGGGGCAGGATACATGCTCTGCAAATGAGAGAAAAGTAAAATTTCAGTGTGACATGTGCCAAGGAAGGTTATGAGCTGCAGGCCGGGGAAGGCTTTGTCATCTTGTTACTGGCTGCTTTCAAGGAGGTGGCAATGTATCTTAGTACTTCCAGGTGAGGGCTCTAGACTAAATTCCTGGTTTTGCCATTTAATTAACCTCTCTAGAGTCTCAGGTTCCTCATCTATAAAACAGGGATAAAAATACTACCTACTGCCTATATCATAGAATTGTGAGAATCAAATAAGATCATGATAAGCACCTAACAGGTAGAAAACACAACAGGACTCACATTAGGAACTGTCACTAAGAAGATATCCTGGGACTTTGCTGGCGGTCCATTGGCTGATCCAGGAAGATCCCACATACTGCATAGCAATGAAGCCCAGGCACCTAAGAGCCCATGCTCTGCAACTAGAGGCCACTGCAATGAGAAGCCCACACACCACAAGAGAAAGCCTGCACACAGCAGCAAAGAACCAGCACAGCCAAAAATATATTTTTTTTAAGAAGGTACTCCAAGTCCTTATTCCCCACAGTATAAAGAAAAGTTTCCCACCATAAGACAATGGAAATCCCTGGTGAGAGTCATGAAACCCAAGCAAGGGCTCCTCCTCCCGTGTGCCTCCGCTGCCCATCTCAGGCTCCAGGGACCCAGTATTCGTGTGTGTGTGTGTGTGTATGGCTCTACACAAGGCACCAAGTGATCACCATTTCCAAGCCCGCCCATAGGGAGCTGACAATCTAATGTTTTATGCAAGAAAGTGTGTTTCTGAAAGATGTACTATGGGAACTTGGATTAAAAGGGACTCAGTATTGGATTATTTTGAAAAAGGGAGATTGTTTCTTCTAAAAGGCAGAACTAGGACCTAGATGGAGAAGGCAATGGCACCCCACTCCAGTACTCTTGCCTGGAAAATCCCATGAATGGAGGAGCCTGGTAGGCTGCAATCCACGGGGTCGCAGAGTCAGACACGACTGAGTGACTTCACTTTCACTTTTCACTTTCATGCATTGGAGAAGGAAATGGCAACCCACTCCAGTGTTCTTGCCTGGAGAATCCCAGGGATGGGGGAGCCTGGTGGGCTGCCGTCTATGGGGTTGCACAGAGTTGGACACGACTGAAGTGACATAGCAGCAGCAGCAGGACCTAGATAGAGGGTGAAAGACTTTTCTCTACACACAGAAGAAACCTGCAACAATTTAGTGTCCACTAACAGAAGGGGCACTCTGCACCTGAGGAGTTCAGAAGAGCCTAGGGGACCTCAGTCATCAGTGCTGCAGAAGGGCCTCCTACTTGGTGAGAAGACTGGACTCCATGACCTCTAAGGGTTCTTTACAGATTCCACAATTCAGTAAAGGCAGTAAGCGGGCCCTGATTACACTTTCCCAGACGTCTAGGTGTCGAGGTACCAGCTGTATATGACAAGTGTTGACCAGCATATTCCAGCTGTTGCTGTGTATAGAAGGGGATGCTTTGGAACTTCCCCGGTTTGTTAATTTAGTAATAAAAAACTAACGCAGGATCTTTTATTTCACCTTTTTTGGGGGAGCTGGTATAACAAGACAACAAACATTATAAATGTAAATTGCCCCAACTATGTTACCAGGCCACGTCTATTTCAAAGATGTGTGCTGCTTTATATGGCCAGTCAGCTGGTTATACAGTTAATAAATCTAAAGTTCAGACGAGCTTCCAGGACTCTAAGGAAGCAAGCCTGTGAGAAAGAGCCCTACAACTCCTTTCTGCCAATGGTCAACAAAGATGGAATGGGAAAGGATGACTGACATCACATGGACATGCCAGAGTAAACTAAACCCTGAACAGAACATGCAGTGGGCAAGAGGCAGTTCCTGAGAACTCAGGGTTACACCCAGCTACTCCTTACAAAGTCTGACCACCCCTGTGTTATAATCCCTGAAGAATGTGTGGTAGGACCACTTGTCTAAAATATAAACAGGTAAGGGACTTCCCTGTGGTCCAGTGGCTTAAGAGTCCACATTCCCAATGCAGAGGGTTTGGGTTCAATCCCTGGTCAGGGAACTAGATCCCATTCAAATTAAGAGTTCACATGCCGCAACTAAACTTTCTTTGTGCCACAACTAAGACTGGTGCAGCCAAATAAATAAATCAGTATTTTAAAGTAAATAAAAATACTGTGACAATGTGTGAAGAAATACTCTCTGAAGCACCTAGAGTAGCACCTGGCACACAGAACGGACTCTGTAAATGCCGGTTCCTTTTCTCTGCTGCTATTGTCCCAACGGGTTAAAAGGCACGCTCGCCCTGGCCCTCTAAGAAACCCCAAGGAGAAGACAGCAGATCTGGGATTCCTGGAAGCATCATCTCTCACAACCTGAAACAGCAGGCACACACTGACCTGTTTGGAGGAAAAGTCAGACTTTCTTCTCAAGCAAAAGTTCCATCCAATGTGGCCAACCACAATTACAAAATAGCCAGAGAAAAGTCACATGAACTGTTTCTGAAGAAAATCACTTTTAAAAAGTGAAAAGGACCATTTCCAAATATCCACCCTTTTACCTTATGATCACAAGTGACAAATGTTTAAAAAACATTGGTGGACTTCCCTGATGGTTTAGGGGTTAGGATTCAGTGCTTTCCCTGCCGAGAACCCAGGTTTAATCCCCGCTTGGGGAACTGAGATCCCACAAGCGGCATGGTGCAGCCAAAACAGGACTAAATACATACAGCTTTAGTCATCTTTCAGGGACTGTCAGCCTGAAAAATTATATAAAAGAATGAACATATGATTTTTTTGCTTGAAAAAGTCAACCATATGTAATTGCTAACATAATTTTATTAACACAATAGATACAATTTCCAACATATACCATTCAAACACATGCCCTTTTCATGTGCTTCAGTAAGACATGGAAGTATTTTGCTTAAGAGTTTCCACTTCTCTTTTAAACCAGCTTTTGTAGTCAATGACTTGGAGAGTACAATACAAAAAGCACCCAAGCCTTCTGTCTTTTAATTTCCACTTATCCTTTCAGAACCCTCTATTGGCAATATGTGCTTTTAGCCACTCTGCCTGCTGAAGGCTACTTTCTCCAAACAGCAACAGGGTTTAATTCTCACTTTCCTCTACACCAGCCTCTGCTGACTCCATTGAATTTCTGTTTTCATCCTCCAACTTCTTCTTCTTCTTTGCTTTTCTTTCCAGGTTAAGCTGAGCGATGTCTTCATTTTTCTCTGTGATGTATTTTAGCTACAAAAAAAAAATTTTTTTTTTAAACGCCCCGTTAAGCCCCTTGTTTTGGGGGGTGTGGGTGGGCAAGAATACCACTCCCTTCTCCAGGGATCGAACTCAGGTCTCCCACACTGTAGGTAGAATGCTTTACCGCCTGAGCTACCAGGGAAGCCTCAAAAAATATTTTTTTAATTACATTTTTACCTGATTGTAAAGCCATTGATAAGTTTAGTCAGGGAGGAAAAAATCTATGCCATTTCCCAACCACTCCCGCCCAGGGTTACATTCCTCAGAGTTAAACACAGCTTCAAATTTTTTTTTCTGGAAAAAATCAATGACAAAAGTCAGCTCACTGCTTACTCACATAGGAGCTCCTTGAATAATCAGAAGAATTAAAACTTGTAGTTTACGAAAGACATGCCAATCACAAATATACTCTACAAAGCACAAATAAAGTCAAAAGCCCTAAATTTACCCAACTAAAATTACTGCGCAATTCCTGTGTACCAGATCCTAGAGACACAAGGATAATAAGACAAGGTCCTTGCCCTCAGGGAAGATTTAGTCAAATGCACAAATTTAGCTGCAACTCTTCAGTAATAGGCTTGTCAGACAAAAAAAATTTAACAGTCCAAAATTAAAACAACATTCTGAGGTAAATACATACACAATAAGCAGAAAACTTCCCAATTAATAGTCTAAGATGACTTGCATCGCCAATTCCTTGCAAAAGATAGAAACTGCTTACTGAAGCTGATAAGTTACAGTTCTGAGAGAGAATTTCAGAGGAGAGAAAAATGTCTTTTCCACTGATACACAGCACCACCAGGCACCGGAGCTATTAGGAATCGTATCACCCTTAACCTTGACTTAAACTTTAGAGAAACAATATTAGAAGAGCAGAGATAGAAAAAAAAGTCCAGTGGAAACAGTACTGGATTCAGGGTTTGAAGGTTAAGGGTCAGCTGTCAACAAGAAAACTTCATATTTAACTTTGGGAAATTACTTAACTCTAGTAGTCTGGCCTATAAAATGGGGCTAATTAGTCATGTTACGAAAAACCCTCAGGGTGATTGTGAGCTTTAAATAATGTGTATAAAATATGACCTACAGAAGTCCTGTGTGAAATGTCAGTGCTACACAAGTTCATTCATTCAACAACTACTCATGAGCCCCTACTGTGGGTCAGGCCCTTTTCTAGGCATGGCAGATGGAGCCAAGAAGAAAGACATAAAAATCGCTGCCCTTAAAAAAAAAAAAAAATCTCTGCCCTTGTGGAGCTCACATCCTGGGGAGGAATGTAAGAGTATTTTTGACTGCTAAGATCAGACTAAGTCAGGAAACCTCACAAACATCCTGATCTGCCATCGGCCACAGCCAACTAGCCTGGGACGATCCCAGCATCACCTGTAAAGTGAGGGCAGGGCTGGGATGATGTCTCGACATCTCCGAAAAGACAGAAAATGTGCTCAACTGCCTGCACACCCCAGATGTACTGATACTCCTTCCACACCTGGCCCACCAAAATTGTGGGCTCCATAACAAATCCACCCCCTAGATACCCTAGCCTGTGACCTGTGTCTGACAGGTTTCTGCTGTAGCTGAAACATGGGACCAAAGTTTTGAGATATTACAGAAAAGGCAAATTATGAAATCCAGAGAGCGCTGATTAGAAAATTTCAAATTGGCTTAGCAAGATCCATCATTGTGAAAGAAAGACTGTAAATTACAGGCAGGTCTGAGCGGTTGAAGCGTGTCTCATTTTTAACGCAAGGTGCCCTGGGGGAATTACTTCGTGGACGCCAGTGATTAATTGGGAATAATGTATTCTGATGGGAAAGGGGAGTGAGGAAAGAGATCCATCTCTCACCAGTGAATGACTCCTCCTGGCTAAGAGCTTCACATCTTCAGTGTTAATTGTGCTTCTTTTCGCATGTCTGTAGAAAGGGCAGAAACAATTCGCCAAAATGTTTCATATTATTTAAAGTTTTGATGAAACACAAAAGTTCATGGCCAGACTTCACACCAGCAAGGAACTCTAAGTAGCCCATCTTTTCAGGTGAAGGTTGTTAATTGACAGTGACACAGAAATGAGTGAAGTGATGAGCCAAGATCCCAATTAAATAAAGAGAATGAGCAAGCAGAAGCCGATCTGTCCACCTCCACTGGAGTGCCGAGGGTATCTGGAGAATGTGAACTTGGAGAGGGGTGAGAGGCATTCAGCCTTCCCAAACGGCCTGCTTGCTCATGGTGGGCACAGCGACCACCACGCAAAAAGAAGCGGGTCTGTGAGGCACCTTCAGCGAAAAGAGAAAACAGCACAGAGCTCACAATACAAAGATCACTGTTGCTTAGATAAACGCTAAATAGAACAAACAGAGAATTTCCACAAAGCACGGCTTCGCTTATACCAAAGTCCTAATGCTCTTCTCCAAAGGCTACATTACAGGGAGAAGCTTGTGCACGTTTCCCTCCCTAACTAGGAGATAATGTGTCCCCGACAACAGCCCAGCTAGGACAAAGAACATCCTTTCAACTAGGGTCTGTTTCTTGCTCACAATGCAGACTCAAGTTCTTGTTCCAGTTCTCTTATCTCTGCTTTAAAAGCTAATCTGAGACAATGAGCTCTATTCAATAATTTATTACCCTAATTACACCCTTTGTTGCCATTTCTAACTTCTTCCAAAAATAAGTAGGAAGTTTTAAGTTGGAATAAGGGGGAATCTTTGTGTTCTTAATAACTATCAGAGTGACCAGCACACGGCAAGTCCTCACTAAAATATCTGTTGACTTCAGAAAAAGAGACTCCTATGTATAGAACAGACTTGTGGACTCTGGGAGAAGGCGAGGGTGGGATGTTTCAAGAGAACAGCATTGAAACACGTATATTATCTAGGGTGAAACAGTTCACCAGCCCAGGTTGGGTGCATGAGACAAGTGCTCGGGCCTGGTGCACTGGGAAGACCCAGAGGGATTGGGTGGAGAGGGAGGTGGGAGGGGGGACCGGGATGGGGAATACATGTAAAAAAAAAAAAAAAAGATACACTATGGTTGTGATAAAAAATAAATAAATAAATAAATTAAAAAAAAAATAAAAATAAAAAATAAAATATCTGTTGACTTAAAGATAAAACTCACAGAAATTATATTCTGTAATTTGGCCAGATTAGTCCTTCACATTCTGCCAAATGTGAAAAGATCACATGCCATCTCATCATGATGGACAGTATCTGACTATCCTGGGATAATATCCATGTCAGAAGATAACGTCTCATTAGCCACCTGCAAGGACTAGCCCAGAGGAAAGGGGGCAGGGTGGGGGTGGGGGGGGAGTCAGACAGAAAGTGACAGAATAGCGACCACAAAGCCGGTCCAGAGGTGCCCTGTGTGGAGGATGTCAGGAACCACAGACACGCTGTGGCCCTCGTCTCTATCACACGACAAGTTGCTCTGTTGGTGTTACCATCTTCCTGAAGGGCTGGACAAAAGAGTAAGGAGGAAGCAGCACTGAACTATTCAGCGTAAGATCAGCATATATGATCACAAGAAGCGTTCAGCAAACAGCAGAGCCAACCCTCTCCACCACTCGACTGGTCACCTGGTTTCTCTGTACAGTGTTTTAATGATGCCACTTTCCCAGATGGAGGGGCAGATATATCCTATGCCGGCCACTGCACACCACAAACTCTCCTAAATCAAACCTCTGGCTCCAGAACAATTACTCTAGAGAACAACACTTTTAGAAACACAGGTTTTAAAGACTATTCCCAAAATGCCCCTAAATATTCATTGGTAGGACTGATGCTGAAGCTCCAATACTCTGGCCACCTGATATGAAGAGCCGACTCATTGGAAAAGATCCTGATGCTGGGAACTGAGGGCAAGAGGAGAAGGGGGCCACAAGGATGAGATGGTTGGATGGCATCACCAACTCAATGGACAAGAATTTGACCAAACTCCGGTAGATGGTGAAGGATAGGGAAGCCTGGCGTGCTGCAGTCCATAGGGTGGCAAAGGCTGACATGACTTAGCGACTGAAAAACAAAAATGCCCCTAGAATTCATTTACCATAGAATACCTATCTTCTTCAAAATGTTTCATCTTTACCATGTTAACATTAGGTGACTAGACATTAAATGAAGGAAATTCAAAACTTAAGTGGAGAAATTATTTTCCAAAGTTTATAGGTGAACTGAGTTTACAGTGTTTACAATATAAGTGCATTTTTTTCATAGAAACATTGTTACAAATACTAGTTAGCTTCCCAGCCTCCAAAGACTATTTAATAGGTAGCCAACTTGAAATAGCAGTATATATTTCAGATTTCTCAAAGTGGGGTAATATAGGAGCAGGGATTATATAACAGGGAAAACTCAAAACCAGAGGATAAAGGTGACCCTCTGGGACTATCAATTTTATTCAGTAGTGGTGGTTTAGTTGCTAAGTTGCATCCAACTTTTGCAACCCCACAGACTGTAGCCGCCAGGCTCCTCTGTCCATGGAACTCTCCAGGCAAGAATACTGAAGTGGGTTGCCATTTCCTTCTCCAAGGGATCTTCGAGACCCAGGGATCGAACCCAGGTCTCCTGCACTGCAGGCAGATTCTTTACTGACTGAGCTACCAGGGAAGCTTTTTTTATTTTATTCAGTGACAAACATTTTTTCCCCCACACCATGGCATGCAGATCCCCAACCAGGGATTGAACCTGGGGCCCCCTGCATTGGAAGTTTAGAGTCTTAACTACTGGACCACCAGGGAGTCCTATTCAGTGATAAACTTTAAAACAGGATTTTTTTTTTAATGGAATGTTTTGACAATGTAAAATTAAGACAACAGATAAGTCTTCAAAGAAAATCTGCACTTGAATTCGCTCAGAGTTCTTAGGAAGAAGTCTATGGAGTGCTGGTATACACCCCTGAGCACCAAAGAAGAGGAAACATCTCTAAGTAAAGCCTCTGACAGTCTTGCTCAGAGAGCATCAGCTGACGGCCTCTACACAGACTCCTTTACCCAAAAGATGAGTCCTTCCTTGTGCAGCTGACAGTCTAAGTAATGCCCACACATCTCTGCCCCGTGTGTGCGTGCTAAGTCACTTCAGTCATGTCCTACCCTTTGTGACCCCATGGACTATAGCCTGCCAGGTTCCTCTGTCCATGGGATCCTCTAGGCAAGAATACTAGTGTGGGCTGCCATGCCCTCCTTGAAGGGATTTTCCCTACTTAGGTATCGAACCTGGGTCTCTTATGTCTCCTGCATTGGCAGGCGGGTTCTTTACCACTGTGCCACCTGGGAAGCCTACCTCTCTGCCCCAGGGCCCAGCAAAAGGAAGTAGGCTTCTCAACTATAAAAAACACACAGTACCTGAAAACTTAACGTGTTACAATGCTAAATAGCTCTAATTTCATTTTTATTTCTAGTATTTAAAATGTGTCATTGTCTTTTCCTACAGCTAACACAGAAATGAGGAGGAAGCTCACAGCTGGAGACTTGCTACTGGCATGTAGTGGGGAGAGGCAAGGGATGCCACTAAATACCCTACAATGCACTGGACAGCCCCCACCAGAATGAGGAAATCATCCAGTCCAAAATGTCAACAGTGCTGAGGTGGAAAAACTCTGATCTATATTGATAAACTCTATGTTCAAATCAAATTACCATCTGTCTACTAATTTACATTTTTGTGTCTTCCTTTGTAATATAAAGGACTCATATTTTAAAAAAAAAAAAGAAGAAGAAGAAGAAGAGGGACTTCCTTGGTCCAGTGGTTAAGATACCATGCTTCCAATGCAGGGGGTATGGGTTTGATCCTTGGTCAGGGAACTAAGATCCCACAAGCCCCACAGCATGGTCAAAAAAAAAAAAAAAGAAAGAAAAGAAATGGCAAGGAGTTTCCTTGGCGGTCTAGTGATTAAGAATCTGCCTGCTAATTCAGGGGACATGGGTTCGATCCCTGGTCCAGGAAGATCCCACATGCCCTGGAGCAACTAAGCCTGTGCATCACAACTATAGAGCCTGGGTGCCTAGGGCCCGTGCTTTGCAACAAGAGAAGCCACTGCAGTGAGAAGACCTTGTATGGAAACTCGAAAAAGCCCAAGCGCAGCAATGAAGACCCAGTGCAGCCAAAAATAACATAAAATAATAAATCTTTTTAAAAAAAAGATGGCAAGTAAAGGCAGTAAATGTATTTCACACGAGACTTGGGGTGGGGGTGGGCGCAGGTAAGGGGCAACCACCTGAATTAACGATGATAAAACACAGGAGCCGTCAGTATCCCATATATTATCCCAATCCCTTTTGGCCAAGTTGAAGATGCTAAGCGGTTTTTAGGGACTCATATACGCAGGAATAGGCAAGATTTAGAGCCTGCCCTCTGAGAACCTACTGCTTTAATTCATTCAGAATATTCATCGAAGAAACAAAGAGCTATAGGAGAAAGGTGAAAAGTATGGGGTGTGGGAGAGGCTGGCACCAAATCACAAGTGGGAGCAAATTAGAAAGCTTTAGCCCTTTCAGGCCTTCGTCATTCAAATTGCTTCATAAAAGCAATTCGCTGCAATTGTTTTCAATTACCTGTGGAACTAATTGAAGAGAGAAGCATAAATCAACTATAAAAGCTAACGCTTTACCAGCTGAAAGCCAGTCACACACACTTTTCAAGGAGCCTGTCTCACTTGTCGCCAGCAGGCAAATGCAGGGCTGATGGGGCCGTGGGCTGTATTATCCCGACATCTGCATGCTGCCCCACGAAGCAGCCCAGCCCGGCGCCCAGCCTCACACCCCAGCAGCACACCACCTGCAGAAACAGTCTTAAAAGCAAGCACACCATGCACAGAATCCTGGAGACATGACTCACACCTTTTTAACCTGGAACTGAATAACTTCACTTCCCTTAACGACAAATACGAGGAAAACTTCAAAAAATGCCCAATCAAGTCTGAATGGACATGATTAAAGCAGATGTTCCATTCTTAGAGAATCACAAAACATGGGGTGGGGAGGGGTTCAAGCTTCCCTGAAATTCACCACCAGATGGGGAGCATCAAAGCACAGAAACAAGCCCAGCATCGGACAATCAAGCTCTCTACCCACCTTGCAAACATCTCAAGGTCTCTGGCAAAATTTTCTGAAAGAGAAAAAGAAATGTGCTTTAATTAGCCTATCTCAACCTTAATTCAGAAGCATAAAAGTGAAATCTCAATGTCTACAGTAAGTGTAGTGACTACTACAAATCCTTTTGAAAGTGAGAGGAGGCCCTTTGGGCGGCTCCATTGCTGGATTCATTACGACCTCTATGTCCTCCCTGCCACCTCCACCCTTCGTTACAAACCTCTGGTAATTGTGGCTACACCTCTCCTCCCTAGAAACTATCCCTTAATTTTAAATTGTGCTAGGAGTTAGGGCTTGTGAAGACATTCATCTCCCCTCAAGTCAAGCAAATACCAGCTGTCAAACTGCGGGTGATACAAAAAAGTTATAAAGCAATAAAACAAAAAAATAAATGTCCAAGGACTTCCCCGAGTAGTCCAGTGGTTAAGAATCAGCCTTCCAGTGCAGGGGACACAGTTTCTATACCTGGTCAGGGAACTAAGATCCCACATGAAAGAAAGTGAAAGTGTTAGTTGCTCAGTCGTGTCCTACTCTTTGTGACCGCATGGACTGTAGCCCACCAGGCTCCTCTGTCCGTGGAATTCTCCAGGCAAGAATACTGGAGGGGGTTGCCATTCCCTTCTCCAGGGGATCTTCTCGACCCAGGGATTGAACCTGCATCTCCCACACTGCAGGCAGATTCTTTACCATCTGAGCTACCAGGAAAGCCCCCAAGATTCCACATGCCACCAGGCAACTAAGCCAGAACACCACAACAAAGACCCAGAACAGCCAAAATTAAATAAATAAATAGGGCAGCCTGTCCTAGCCCTTGTTTAAAAAAAAAAAAACTAATATTCTGGGTGGTTTAAAACAATAAAATAAAGGTGCTGATGCCCCCCTGTTAGTGTAACAGAAAGAAAAAAAATATAAATTTTGTAATAGAAAAAAACATAGCTCTTCCCATAAACTGAATCTTACAGCCAATAGAAGAAACATTTCATGGATGGTGTCCAGTGATAATGTTCTCTGTCTGTTGGTGAGATACGTCATGGCACCCACCCGCATTTCTCCCAGGCAAAATCAACCTCCAGGCTTTCCACACACCCGCAGGAAGACCAGGGCTGCGTACCACATTGTCGGAAGGTCACCTCTGAGATCGCTGCAATGGTTTGCTTGCTGAACTGCATGTCTTTGTCCAACGCAACTTCCTCGCAAAGACAACCAACCGTGTAGTGAACCGCTGCCTTTAGCCTCTGAAGTAAAATCAAAACACTTCATGGGTAAGACTGCAAATAAGAGCTCTTCACATCTTAAAAAATGAAGACCAAGACGGTCTGCTCAGCCTAAATTCCCTCAGCACTTTCCATAATGGCTGAGTGACTTTTCCAGTGCACTATAACACCTGTGGCCAGCGATTTGTTATGTAAGCGAATATTGAAACATCTCAAGTCAGCAACATTCAGGTAGCACGTATTAATACTAACGTGTTAGCACACGCCTTCACCCAATAGGCACTTGGCACATAAATGTGGAATAACTGAGTAAAGTTACACAGGTGCCTCCCAGATACCAGTCTGCCTTCTCTCCCCGCTGACCTGCCATTGTCATTCCTTATCTTTACTTCACCGAAATCATCACCATTAACTAGGAAGTGACGTTTCTACAAGTCACATTCCAGAGGCCCCACTGATTTATGTTTCTGCAAAAATATCCCCTGGTCAATAATGTGCCAGGTATCTGGGGAACACAGTGAAAAAAGAGAGGGATTTTTGTCCCTAGATGGAAGTTAATCAAGCAAAAACAAAAGGACTGGTCCCTGTGCTTCAAGTCCTTGCCAGCCCCAGTCCTGCATGAGACAAAGGATGAATATCAGGACAACACTGTGGAAGGCTCCCGAGGGCACACTGGATCCTCCTCTGATTTGCTAGTTTGCTAGCCCACCTCAACAGGACCCTCAGCGCTCCTTAGCAACACCTTCCAGTGCTGGAAAACACTTCTTCCGCATGCGGAGGAGAGGAGTAAAGAAACAAAACAAACCACGCCAAAGTCTCGGTCTCATGTCAACAAACTTGCTGAGCCCCGTGTGCGCGCCACTCATGCTGGGGACGGAGCTGAACCAGATGCGGTGATGGCTGAACCCAAGACAAAAGTCACCTCTACCAGCAAGTGCTCATGGCAGAGGCAAGACAAGGAGGGACTGCAAAAACACGAGTCCAGGGCCCAAGGAGAGGCCAGACAGGTAAGAAAGGGACTTACCTTCCTTCGTTTCAGATGTCACAAGAGCAGGTAAGTGGAAAGCGTTGGTGGAAAGAGACAAAGAGACCACCACCCTGGGAGGGATAAAGACCCTCCAAAGTCATCTTTTTGTTAGGTATGTGTAGAGGTGTGGTTAGGGATAGGGAAACAATCTCATTTTGCTCCAGAAGATTCCTCCATCCTTCCCCCTCATCCACTTCCTGGAACAGGTTAAGGGCCTTCTTCAATAGAGGCTAAGTCATGCCTGTGCGTGCACAGTTGCTAAGTCACATCCGATTCTGCAGCCCATGGACTATAGCCAACCAGGCTCTTCTGTCCACAAGATTCTCCAGGCAATACTGGAGTGGGATGCCATTTCCTCCTCCAGGGGATCTCCTCCACCCAGGGATGGAACCCAGGACTCCTGCAGGTCTCTTGCCTTGCAGGCAGATTTTTTACCAATGAGCCACCGGCTTGGGTCAGAGGCTAAGTTACTAAACTCTAAATTCCTCAAGGGCAGGACCCTTCAGTACTGTTCACGGCTGTCCACCTAGTGGCAAGAACACCTGGCTGAGTGAAGAGTGGGATCACCACTGCACAGAGGATGAGGTTCAAATTTCTCAGTCCATCTTTGCAGCCTGACTTACTTATTCAGTAAGTATTTATTGTCTGTTGAGAGCTAGGCTCTGTACTAGGGGCTGAGAATACAAAACTGAAAAGAACAGTCCCTGCTCTCAAAGAGTTTATCTCCTACATCTTTGCCATGAATGGACTCTTCGAAACCACCAATGTCATGAAACCCAAAGGAGGTGGAGAGCCATTCCAGGAGAGACCAAAGCCAGGACTAGACACAATGCAGGATCCCCGACTAGATCCTGGGTGAAGGAAAAAAAGGACCATGACAGAATATCTTTGGGACAACTGAGGGAAACTGAATATGGATTCACATTAGATAATAGGATTTTATCAATTATCAAGCTTCCTGAATGTGATCAGAGATTATGACCTTGTTCTTGGAAGAAGCATGTTAAAGTATTAAAACTTAAAGGTGAAGCATTAAGTGTGCTTAATTATCAAATAATTTCAAGAAAAGAAGTAAGGGAGCAAATACAGCAAAATGTTAACTGGTTAATCGAGGTGAGGGGCACATGGGTGATGAATGCGATAACTTTGCAACTTTTTCTGAAGGCTCGAACTTCAAAATAAAGGGAGGAGGTGGGTAAACAGCTTCTGAAATTTAGGAAGCGCCCCCTTCCTGAGTTCATTCCCAATTCTCTTCGGTTAATCCTCTGAGATTCTTGGTTTTTCTCACGACTCTCCTACACGGCATTTATTCGCGGTGCTGACTGAAGGACTGAATACCAGCAACTATGCCGAGAGCTGGTTATTATCACCCTGATTTTCCCATCTAGGAAAACGAGTTCGGGGAGAGTCAACACAACACTGTGCGGAGTCGAGATTCGAACCCACATCCGATGGGTTCCGGAGCCGGGCGGCCCGGGTTTGCACCAGGTTCCAAGGCCGTCTCCTCCCCCGCAGGATGGACGCACCGATTAGAGGAGCCAACATTTCTGGAGCTCGTGCCGCGTGCCTCATAACAACGCTGATCGAGAAGGAGACTGAGCCTGTCACAAAGCCAGAGGGGCCTCCGCCGCCGGACTCCCGGTGCACGGCAGGTATTTTCCCCGAATCTTCCCTCTCAGCCACCCCAAGCTCCGACCCGCGAAACCAAGGAAACCGCCTCCCAGCACCCCCCGCGGCAGCCGGGTCAGCTCAAGCGCAGGCGCCAGAGGCGGCCGAGCTCGGCCTCCGACCTAGGGCCTCGGTACGAAGACGAGGCTGGGCTGAGGCGGCGCCTGTTTCCCCGCAGAATCTCGACGCCGTCCTTCCCCAGCCCCGCCAGGACCCCATTCTCGTGTACCTGTCGGTAAGAGAAGCGTTGCTGCTCCTCGGCCCCCTCCTCCTCCTCCGTCATCTCCGCAGGTGGACACTGGCCGGCGCGCCAGGATAGAAAGACGCGCCCCCCAGGGCGGCCGGTCGGATTTTCCCGCCGCGGCGCCGGGCGACGGGCCGCGCTGCGGGCCAAAGCGCGAAGCTGCCGGCTGCCTCGCGCGCGCCCTGGCGGCGACTCCGGGAAGGGGGCCTCACAGCGCGCCTGCGCCCGCCCCGCCCCAGCCAAGCTCCCGGGGGACCTCAGGCCCAGCTCTGCGCTCCACACAGTTGTCAACACCAGCTCTCAGAAACAATATGTGTGTAGGGACAAAGGTTCGCAACTCGGTTGTAAATTCCATGCGGCTGCAACCTCGATATGCCTTGAAAAATCTAGTGTGAGTTTTTTTTTATAATTCTATAGTGTCACAAAGTCAGATCACTGATAAATGTTTGATTTCTATCCCCTTCAGCGAAACAGTTTCTCACCCCGCTGCCGTTGCCAAAGGAATATAGTTTTGACTCAAGTGTTAGCTGATTTTCCTTTATGTTAAGAATTAAGGAACTTAGCAGGATCCCCTGGAGGTCCAGTGGCTAAGACTCCGCACTTCCACGGCAGGGGGTGGGAATTAATCTCTGGTGTGAGAACTAAGAACCCACATGCCAGGCGGCCATGAATTTTTTTAAAAAAAGAGGAAATAGGGGGGAAAAAAAAAAGAAATAAGGGACTTCTCTGGTGGTCCATCCAGTGGAGTTCCATTCCAGGTGAGGGAGCTAAGATCCCACGTGCCTTGTGGCAAAAAAAAAGAGAAAGCGGAAGCCCTATTGTTTACCACCTGAGCTATGAGGGAAGCTCTGTAACAAATTCAGTGAAGACTTAAAAAAAAAGAAGTGAAAAATAGTGAAACCTAACAGTCACATCTTCACTGCTTCCCAACTTTCTTCAATTATTTTCCTCCTTTCCAGCTTCACTCTTTGGAGTTTCACTCATTTTTGGATGACATGAGGAAGGAACTTCTCTACCGAACTGAATAATAGTGTCAAGTACTGGAAGAATATTTCCTCAGCTTATGCTATTCATGCTACAAAGGGTACAGTCGCCATGCACATTCAAGTTCAGTCTGCATTATTAACATCCACCCCCCCCCCACTTCCATAAGCAGTCAACAAGGAATTAAACCCTGATTTGCAGGTTTCCTTGGTGTAAATACTCCCACTATTGCCAGATTTCAAGCAACCAATATGAAGAAGCTGAACTCAGCATTTGTTACAAACTAGACTTGTTTGCCTCACTGGAAAAGACCTTGATGCTGGGAAAGATTGAAGGCAGGAGGAGAAGGGAACAACAGAGGATGAGTTGGTAGGATGGTATCACCGACTCGATGGACATGAGTTTGAGCAAGCTCCGGGAGTTGGTGATGGACAGGGAAGCCTGGCGTACTGCAGTCCGTGGGGTTGCAAAGAGTCAGACACAACTGAGCGACTGAACTGAACTGAGACGCGTTTGAGAGTTGAGCCATAAAGAAGGTTGAGGACCGAAGAATTGATGCTTTTGAACTGTGGTATTGGAGGATACTCTTGAGAGTCCCTTGGACTGCAAGGAGATCAAACCAGTCAATCCTAAAGGAAATCCATCGTGAATATTCATTGAAGGATGGATGCTGAAGCTGAAGCTCCAATACTTTGGCCACCTGATGAGAAGAACCGACTCATTGGAAAAGACCCTGGTGCTGGGAAAGATTGAAGGCAGTAGAAGGGGACGACAAAGGATGAAATGGTTGGATGGCATTACCAACTCAGTGAACGTGAGTTTGAGCAGGCTCTGGGAGATGGTGAAGGACAGGAAAGTGGCGTGCTGCAGTGCAGTCCATGAGGTCACAAAGAGTCAGACACAACTGAGTGACTGAACAACAACAGGCTTGTTTGCCCCACAAGCAGCAGGCCTGACACTGAAGTTTGCAGCAGAGAAGAAGTTTGTTGATGAGGTCACCATGAAAGGAGAACACAGTTCCAACTCTGAGGACCAGAGGCTTGAGATAGTTATGGGATAAAGAATCAGGTGGGGATGTCCCCAGTGGTCCAGTGGTTAAAACAGTTAAAACTCCACCTTCCAATGCAGGGGGGTGCAGGTTTGATCCCTGGCAGGGGAACTAAGGGCCCACATGCCACAGGGCAAGGTCAAATTAAAAGCAGCAAAGTAGGCATGAGGAAAGATGATTGGAGACAGGGAAAAGGTGAGGCAGTCTGTGTCCTGCACCAGGCCAATTTTAGGCTCAGTGGTCCAAACTGGTCTTAGCTGGTCTGAACTGGGCAGGAGCCAACTCCAAAGTTTTGGAAAACAAAGTAAAACTCCCGTTACTATACTGACCCATACATCAGAAGCGTTATCTGTAGGGCTGGTTTCAAAGTCTAGTGATACATTACCTTGGCTATGTGAAGCTCAGAGGGTATGCAGCTAGAGAATGGGTTAAAAAAAAGCAAGTCAGCAGGCTTAATCAGTAAAGAAGCTGCAAACAGAAAGGTTTCTGACATGCTGTTCCCTTATCTGCTGTTCTGTAGGACACACACTGAGCTTCTGTTAACCCTTTGGACGTGATTTCACACAGGGAAGAGATGATGCACACCCACCATTCAGACACAGTAGATGGAAATAACCAAGAACAGATGATAGAAAAATGTGCAACATAGTAGCATAATTGATCATAAGTGATGACTTTTGAGTTTTTACTTTGTTTTTAATACAATTTTCTAAGTCTGTATTTATGTTAACTTCTTTTTTTTTAATGTCTTTATAAAAATCTGTTTGTTGGACTTCCCTGATGATCCAGTGGTAAAGAATCTGCCTGCCAATGCAGACACGGCTTCAATACCTGATCTGCAAAGAGTCCACACACCATGGGGCAACTAAGCCCGTGCACCACTACTGAGCCCATGAGCCACAACTACTGAAGCCTGCATGCCCTAGAGCCAGTCCACAAGAGAAGTCAACTGCAACCATAAGAAGACCCTTGTGCAGCAACGAAGACCCAGCTCAGCCAAAAATAAATTTTTTAAAAATCTGCTTATTTGTTTTATCTTTTGACCTAACCACATGGCCTGTAGGATCTTAGTTCCCCAACCAGGGATCAACCCCCCACCCCCTGCACACACCTCAGAGTCTTAACAACTGGACTTTCAGGAAAGTCACATTGTAACTTAATTCTTAGTAATGGCTGTGTTTGTCTCTAGTTTTCTCTTCTCTTGAAAATCAGGCTTTCACCTCTTGCTGTAGGAACTGGTTCTAGCAGACTTCTGGCCTAGCACATAGCCTGCACTTACTAATCCCAAGTGGAAAGAATGTACTCTGCTGAAATCAGTTTTTAAAGACCTGGGTGCTCAGCCTGCTTAACTGAGGTCCAGTGAGGGCCCAGGGCCCAGCTCGTGGTGGGGGCTCACCGAATGTTTATTGAGGATCTGACTCACAGCAGCATCTCAGTGAGTCCTGAAAAAGCAGAGGCTCCTTAATAATAGGCCAGCTCCCCAGGTCATCAGCAATGCAGGGGCCCCCAATTTTTTTAAAAAGAAATTTGACTCAGATATACATGTATCCCCCGCCTTTGAAAGTTTGCAGTAAGCCTCTTCGTTTTTTAAAATATTTATTCATGTATCTATTAATATTTGGCTGCACTGGTGCTTAATTGCAGCATGCGAGACCTTTAGTTGTGGCAAGCACACTCTCAGTTGTGGCGTGGGGGGATCTGGTTCCTGATCAGGGATCAAACCCCAGCCCCCTGCATTGAGAACACGGATTCTTAGCGACCAGGCCACCAAGGCAGTCCCTCGGCCACTTCATTTTCTTTACGAAGCTCTTCATTACTATGGTTATGGCTTTTTTTCTGGTAAAAGTGAAAATTCTCTTTCGGTTAGCAAAAACGGGTGCTAAGGTATGTGTTCAGTTGCTCAGTCGCATCCAACTCTGCGACCCCATGAACTGTAGGCTCCTCTATCCATGGAATTTTCCAGGCAAGAATACTGTAGAGGGTTGCCGGTTCCTCCTCCACGGGATCTTCCCAACTCGGGAATCAAACCTGCATCCCCTGCATCTGCATTGGCAGGCAGATTCTTTGCCACTGCACCACCGAGTGGCAGAACTTGAACTTTCATGACGAGGGGAACTTATTTTCTAAAGCATTATTGCAGTCATCAGGGGGGAAATAGTATTTTCAGACCTTCTCACACTAGTTTTACAGTGTAGTGGTGTGTTTACTTTTAACTCATGTTGAGAGCCCTTAGAGGCCTCATCACATCCCAGTCCTTTCCTCTATTCCAGCACCTTCTCACTGCAGGTTAAAATCATATGGCTTTCTTGACAGGTGTAAAACTACCAAGGAGAAGAAGGGTGCACAGGGTTTTTTTATTTGTGCTTCATTGGAAGAATATACAAGCGGCCTCCCTCCTACTACCTCTATGGAGGAGTCAGGGATAGAGGAGAGAGGCTGCAGATGAAGAATCATACAGGGTTTCCTTTTGACTCCTCAGCCCACAGCTACCCCTCACCTCAGCTGAATCCTAAGCAGGGGAGGGGTGCTGAGGAGGCAGAAGTTCAACATACAAAGCCATTAGGGGTTGATTAGGGCTTCCCAGGAGGTTTTAGTGGTCAAGAGCTTGCCTGCCAATACAGGAAACATGGGTTCAATCCTTGGGTCAGGAAGATCCCATGGAAAAGGAAATGGCAACCCACTCCAGCATTTTTGCCTGGGAAATCCCATGGACAGAGGAGCCTGGTGGGCTACAGTCCTTAGGGCTGCAAAGAGTCTGATACGACTGAAGTGACTTAGCACACACAGAATCTGAGGTGGATTGAATCTGCAGGTGCAGAACCACAGATTTGGAGGTTGTAATGAGTAAAAGTTATACACAGATTTTCAAGGGTGGGGTGAGCTGTTGTTCAGGGGTCAGCGGTTTGGTAGGAACTGTTTTTACTGGATGAAAAGCTGCCGTGTAAACTGGCCACTCTGTGCTCAGCCACTCAGTTGCATCCCACTCTTTGCGACCCCATGAACTGTAGCCCTCCCGGCTCCTCTGTCTATGGGATCTTCCAGGCAAGAATACTGGAGTGGGTTGCCATGCCCTTCTCCAAACTGGCCACTATGCGGCAGCATTGTGTCACACCAGGGAACAAGGCCCTCCTGGTGATCACAAGGGATTAACACTCACTGAGCGCTGACTTGCTCGTGAACGTGCTCCAGGTGCCCTGCCGTCGGAGGTAGGTAACATTACCCCCATTTTATATATGAAGAGGGTCCCACAGGTGAAAGAACTTTGCCTGAGGTTAAAATTGGCAGGAAGTGGTAGAGCCCAGATTTGAAGCAGCCTGGCCTCTGAGTCCACGGTCTTATCCTCTGCCCTGGTCCCACTGCCCTCACCATAAACAGGGCAAGCACACTGTGCAGGCTTCCTGAGCCCTTTCCAGCTGCATTAAATAGGAGACCATAAATGTTGAATCATTCATTTTTCCTAAATTTTCACTGTAAAATGTCAATTCAAAACTCCATCTCCATCAGCTGTTACATATATTCTAGGAGCTGGTGGCCTTTTGGCTAAGATCAAGTGTCCTATAGGGGCTTCCCAGGTGGCACAGTGTTAAAGAGACCACCTGTCAGTGCAGCAGACATAGATACACAGTTTCGATCCTGGGTTGGGAAGATCCCCTGGAGGAGGAAATGGCAACCCACTGCGCTATTTTGCCTGGAGTAGTCCATGGACAGAGGAGCCTCTCCGGCTACAGTCCATGAGGTCAGAAAGTCAGACACAACGGAGTGACTGAGCACAAGAACTCATGATTTCCGGAGCTTCAGATTCTCTCACCACCAAACAAATGGTTACAGCAATGTGTGACTCCCCCATTGGCCACCCTGAGCGGTAGGATAACCTGGTGATTGTATATGTGGGTTCTGGCTCAGACTTCAGTTCTGCAGGAGCTCTGTGACCTTGGACAAGTTACTTCACATCCTCAGGCTTTGTCTGTAAACTGGGAATAATGATAGTACCTCTTTGAGAGGTTTTGTATTAAATAAGTAAACTTAAAACAGTGCCTGGCACACCCTCTGTTAGCTATTGTTATATTCTCATGTGTGCCACTGACTACTACATGAGGCCCTCAGGAAAACCCCCAAATAAGACCAGAGTTCCCAACCTCCCCATGTCACAAATTGTCATTTTCAAAGGAAGCATATTTGGCAGATTATATTTGAAAAAAAAAAAAGAAAAATCTCCTGACCCACATGCTCCTCTAGAACTCTCCACTCCACCATCAAGAGGTAAAGCCTAATATTCCTTCCCTTGAACTTATAAATCTCTTGTAACTGATATAATGTGGCTGAAATAATGCTCTGCTACATCCACTGTTGTTGTGCAGTCACTCAGTCATGTCTGACTCTTTGCGACCCCATGGACTGCAGCATGCCAGGCTTTCCTGTCCTTCACTATTCTTCCAGAGCTTGCTCAAACTCATGTCCATTTAGTCGATGATGCCCTCCAACTATCTCATCCTCCGTCGTCCCCTTCTTCTCTTGCCTTCAATCTTTCCCAGCGTCAGGGTCTTTCCCAGTGAGTCAGTTCTTTGCATCAGGTGGCCTAAGTTTTGGAGCTTCAGCATCTGTCCTTCCAATGAATATTCAGGGTTGATTTCCTTTAGGATTGACTGGTTTGATCTCCTTGCAATACTAGGACCTCTCAAGAGTCTTTTCCAACACCACAGTTCAAAAGCATCAATTCTTCAGTGCTCAACTTTCTTTATGGTCCAGCTCTCACATTCATACATGGCTAATGGAAAAACCACAGCTTTGACTAGACAGACCTTTGTCAGCAAAGGAGCATCTCTGCTTTTTAATACACTGGCTAGGTTTGTCATAGCTTTTCTTCCAAGGAGCAAGCGTCTTTTAATTTCATGGCTGCAGTCACCATCTGCAGTGATTTTTGAGCCCAAGAAAATAAAGTCTGTCACTGTTTCCATTGTTTCCCTGTTTATTTGCCAATATGGCTAGGCCTTAAAGGCAAGGTGGTGTTTGTTAGCTGCAACACTGAGCCACCAAGTAAGATGTTTGCCTCAGTTAAGGCCACATGGTGAGGCCACCATGTACCTTTCCAGCTGATAGCCAGGGCTGAGGTCCCAGCCAACACTGGCCACCTGATGAATGAAGCAGACAGACACCTCCACGTGGTCCCAGCCATGGAACCACCCCCAGCTTTCACGTCTTCCTAGCTGAGGCCCCCAGATATTGTGGAACAGAGATAAGCCGTCACCCAGGTAGCCTTCCAAATTTCTGACTCTCAGGATATAAAAAAATGGTAGTATGTTATGCCATGGAGTTTAGGATGGTTTGTTACACACTGGGCAGAAACTGGTACTGCGTATTTTACTAGACAGTGAACGTGTCTGTGCTAACATACATACTAAGCATGGCATATACATCCTGATGGTCTCTCTACCCCTCCTGAAAAGATGGCTTCCATCTGCCTCAAAGATGACAGCTGCAAATCCCCTGCCTAAAGCCTCTGCTGAGAGATCATGTCTGCTCCCTTGTTGGATCCATTTCTTTTTTTTTTCTCCTTCAATTGAAGTGTGATTGCTTTACGATATTGTGTTAAGTTTCTGCTATATAACATCGATCAGGTCTATGTGTGTGTATATATCCCGACCCTCTTGAGCCTCCCTCCCTCCCCCATGTCTTTCTAATTAACTCCTTTCTGTCCCACATAAAGCAGGAAGAAGCTGTGGCTGACATCATAATAGGCCTACAAAGTGTTTTTTTTGCCAAGGGAAGCCCTTTGCCAGAACAGACCCCTAACTGTCCCCGCAGCAGTTGTGCTGGACAGGACCCACCAGGCTGGGAGCAGAACCCGTCTGTGTCCACCTCCAGCCACTTTTAATTAAGATTGTTCAACTACGTCACCTTCACCAGGAGGCAGGTAGTAAAGAGTAAATCATAAATAGGATTCACTATGGGGCAAACACTAATCCTCAAAAGAGTTTTGTGACACAGGCGCTATTATCATCTTTTTACAGACGAGGCAGCACATAGGTACCGAGGTTAAGGATCAGAGTAACCATGAATTAGTGGTGAATCTAAGGTATGGGCCCAGGCTCTAACCATTGGGCTGGGCTGCCTTTACTAGAGCTAACGTAAGTAGTTTTTTATCAATGTATTTTTCTAAGTCATGGTATATAAAATTCCTAAGGCATGAAATAATATATAGAAAAAAAAAACACCCAGGCAAAGGATTCATATTATTTTAACAATAAAAACAGTTTCCTTTTATTTCACCCTTCTTATGCCACAATGGGAACCTGGGAGCTTGTTAGAAATGCAGAATGTATACACAGGTATACCTGTGGCTGATTGGTGTTGATGTATGGCAAAAACCATCACAATATTGTGAAGTAATTATTCTCTAAAATAATTTTTAAAAAGAAATGCAGAATATGGGTTTCCCACCCCAGACCTGCTGACTCAGAGTCTACCTCCTCCCACGCCCAACCCCCACCAAGCTCCACCCCCTGGCAGGGTGGTGGTGGTGAAGGGGTTATATTGGTGGTATATTCAGTGAAGATCTGCTTGTCTTAACTTACACACCTGAGCACACAGAAGAGCCCCGCCAAGAACTGTTTCAGGGCTGGTTTGTAAAGTGAATTCACCAGTAAATGCTGAGAAGTAACATTTGGTTTCTTCAGAAATACCACTGTGTCCAGGACAGGCACACCCTCAAGTGGTAATAATTACCATTACCAATAATTACAAATAATAGTAATTACCATTTATGTAGGTGCTTATTATGTGTCAAGTGTTGTTCAGTTTTTACCAGGTGTATCTTCAAAATAGCCTTAAGGAGGCCAGAATTCTCTAGGCCAGAATAATGGAGTGGGTAGCTGTTACCTTCTCCAGGGGATCTTCCCAACCCAGGGATCAAACCCAGATCTCCCAAATTGCAGGCGGATTCTTTATCAGCTGGGCCACAAGGGAAGCTTCTTAAGGAGGCAGGTATGATTATTATCCCCATTTTACAAATGAGAAAACAGAGGCCAGAAATCTTAAATAATTTGTCTTAAGTCATACAGCCAGGTCATAAGGTAGTTCACTCACTTCTTGACTATTTCCTCACCCCTCCCTCCAGAGTTAATCATTACCTAACTTTAGTGTTTCTGGTATTGGTTTTTTATTTATTTTTTTAAAGAAAATAAGAAAATATTTAACAAGACTAAATAAAGGAAATAAACTAATTCAAATGTAATGAAATGAGGTGCACATCTTTCTGCCAGTGAGGCTGTGGCTCAGTGTGGATGAGGTAAGACTACTTAAAGAGTCTGGAGGAAAAGCATAAATACGATTTTTCGTGTGGTTTTTTTTTCTTTTATTAAGTAAAAGGAAAGGGGGTTCAGGTGTGTGATACAAAGGATCCAGTTTGATCAAATTCCACAAAACCTTTCCCCACCTTGATGAGAGCTGCTGCCTCCCTCACCCACAGGGGACATGCGGGGAACTCTGCCTCGGGGAGCTGGCTCACACTGTCTCGCACACACTCCACTCCTGCTCCGTCCCAAGAGGCGAGGGCAGAGGGCGTGCTGGTTCTCTCAGAACTACTTGACACATAGAGACTTGGGCCAACTCTTCAGAGGAGTTTCTTACGACACATGATATTTTAAAAGATCTGAGCAGAAAGTAGGGCAGAGGACCATGTAAGCAGTGCGGTATGGCAAACGGAATGCCCCGGTCTGCAAAGTCACGGCTTGGAACAGAATCCCATCAGGCGTTGTACGATGACGAGGACACGCTGCCACCGTGGCCTGTCCAGTTGGTGTGCAGGAACTGGCCCGGCTTGGCCAAGAGTTCGTAGGTGTGCGCCCCGAAGTAGTCCCGCTGGGCCTGGAGAACAAGGGACAGGCTGGTTAGGACAGAGGCAGGCACGGGACTCTGGGCACCACCCAGGTGCATGTTCACCACCCACCCTAAAGCTTACCTGGATGAGGTTGGCCGGCAGCATCTCGTGTCTGTACCCGTCGTAGAAAGAGAGAGCAGTGGTGAAGCAGGGCATGGGAATGCCTGCCTGGACACCAGTACTGATGGCCCGCCGCCAGGAGTCCTGAGCCAGAAAAGCAAAGCCAGAAACTAGTAACTAGCTCTCAGAAAAGACAGACTTTCAGGCGTGTGTGAAAAAGCAGACACCCTTCAGAGCAAAACCCACTGAGACAGAATTCCCATACCACCCAGCTCTGGGCTACACACCTGGCAGTTTTCCACAGCTGACTTAAAGAAGTCATCCAGCAATAGATTCTGAAGTCCTGGGTTCCGATCAAACGCATCTTTTATCTTTCCCAGGAATACACTGAAATAACCAAGAAAGAGGAAGTCAATGAATCTCAAGTAGCAGGCTGACAGCCTGGCAGAACGGAGAGGAAGTAACAGATACTCCAGTGAGCTACGAAGGCACCTGTCCTCCCAATCCCACCCCCAAAGCTTGCTGTACGGACCAGCAACACCGAAGCCCAGGTCACGAGAGGTCTGGGCAGACGGCACGTCGGTGCACATGGAAGCAAGCACTTTAGACGGGGTGGTGTGGACACTCGCGTAACTGACACACAGGAAGAAGGTGAGGCGTGACTCCTAAAGCTGCCTGGTTGCCAGCGAGGACTCCCTGTACAGCTCCAGGAAAGCCCTTCTGCGAGCGCCTGAGCCCCCGTTTCCCCCACCGCCACTCACCTCCTGATGATGCAGCCCCCCCTCCACATGAGGGCGATGCCGCCATAGTTGAGGGTCCAGCCAAATTCAGTGGCTGCCTGTCTTAGCAGCATGAAGCCCTGAGCGTAAGAGATGATCTTGGAAGCATAGAGGGCCTGAAGACGGACACCAAGACTCATCAGAACTGCAGTCAGCACATGGATGCCCTATCCTCCCTGCCCCCTCCCCATTCCCCCCAGCAGCACAGATCCTGCTGCCTCATCCCCACCCCCAGCAGTGCAAGGACTACAGTTTAGGACAGGCTGCAGATCCGATCAAAGGGCAAGGCTGGACTGTCCCCCCTCCATGTGGCCTCAGGATGCTCTCTGGCAGCAGCCCCCTCCCCTACCCCACCCCCACGGGGCCTGCACCCCACCTTTCGAATGTCCTCCAGGAATGATTTCTTATCTCCCTCAAACGGGATACTCTGAGGCCCCTTCAGCTTTTTGCTGGCTTGGATCCTCTCGTCCTTCAGAGATGACAAGCATCTCGCAAAGACGGCTTCTCCTGCGTGGGGGGAGGGGGTAGATAATGTGTCACTAGTGTGCACACACAGAACCCGAGGAGGAGTGCTCGAGCCAGAGTGGTGAGGGGAGCAGAAGTGGAGCACGACTTCAATGTTACAAAGGGCTGGAAGTCTCAACCTTAGGCCCCCAGAGTTAAAACAAACTTTCCTAAGAAGCTCGAAACAGTTAATCTGAAAATTAAAAGTCCAAGTCAGTCTTCCACATAAATGTTGGCATTCAACCACAAAGACCACCATGAAATTCAAAGGGGGCACTTTAAGGGGAAAAACGAAGCAGCAGAATCACTATTATTACTATAAAATCACTATTAAGAAGTAACTCGGTGTTGGTCCAATGGTAAAATTTGTTCCAGCTGGGAGGACTTTAATTTTTAAATGCTCACCAATGACTCAATTTATTTTCTTTTAAGCACTAATACCCATAACTCTGAAACAACCAGTACATTGAGAAGAAACACAGACTTCACCCTTCATAAAATTCCATTTTCCAATTCTTACAGTTTAATTTTCGGTATATCCATGATCATCGTTACAGTTTAACAATTTTATTTCATTTGAGTAAAAAAATTTCAGTATAGTACTTTATCTTTTTGGTGAGGCAGGTGGCATAGAGGATCTTAGTTCCCTGACTGGGGATCAAACCCATGGTGCCTGCAGTGGAAGACAATCTTAACCACTGGACCTCCAGGGAATTCCCTCAGTATAGTATTTTAATATTAAGACCATTTGGTATCTTAAAAATCATCACTTATAAATATTCACCCAATTGACAATTTGCAAAATTAGAATAACTGACCATTTTTCCCAATAGACAAAATGAAGTAAAACCTTTAGGAACTAACAGGGGACCTCAGTTTTGAGGAAAGGATTCTGGCCATAGACTTAAGAGCGGGTGTCTCCCTGGCCCTGTCCGCCTCTCTGGGCTCTTGCACACACATGATGACTTAGCAGTCCTGGGTAGAGGCTTCGAAAGACAAAAGGCACAAGAAGGCAAGTGTGGTGTAACTGCAGCATTGCTTAAAGATTAGACAGAAGACTTGCTTCCCCATTAGTTCAGCAAGGAAGCATGGCACCTGGCCAGGGAGGAAGCTGCCTGCCATCCATAGGAAGGGACAAAGTCTCTGAAACATCTGAGCAGGACTCTCTTGAGGGCTGTAATACTCATATATTTGAGTCAATGATGAACAACTGCTCTCAGTTACTGGTTCCATGATCTGCCCCCGTCCCCGCCCCCCCCTCCCCAGGATGGTATTCAGATTAGCTAAATAGCAGTCCACTTCCTTCTCTGTAGAGCTGGACTAACTGCTTCCCTCCTCACCAGGCCTGCAACCACCCTGTTCACTGTGAACAGTGAAGCGTAATTAACCAGGAAACCAAAGCTGGGGGAGATTAGGGAGGGAACGGCAACCCGCATCTGGAAGAGCCAACAGTGTTGGGAAGCCACTCTGCCAGGAGCAACTAACAACCTGTCATTAAACAGGCCAGGGCTCTCCTTCACTCTTCTTTTCAGTCTTGCCAGAATGTATCTATTTTATTCTTTTTTATTTGTTTTTTTGCCACAGAGAAAGGCATGCGGGATCTTAGCTCCCCCATCAGGGACTAAACCTGTGCCCCCTGTGGTGGAAGTCCCTATTTTATTCTTAAAGAACCATCATGCAGTTCTGTTAATCCTCTTAGTATTTTTATCTCTGCTGATTATTTCCTTCTCTCTACATCTTTTTGAGTTTGATGCTTAGCTCATTAAAATAAAAAAACAAGGGTGGGAAGGATATAAGACAACTTCAGGATAGCTTCTAAAAGGAGAAGGAACTTAGGAAAGGAAAGAAATATTAAAGGACTGGAAATGCATAAGTAATATTTTCTTAGATAACTGAGAAAAAACCTTAGCAAAATAGTAATAAATGTTGAGTACCTAAGATTTTATTATTGTGTGAACTGTTGTATGAAAAATTCCACTACAGTTACCTTTCCTATTAAAAAGACCTTGAGTCACTGACTATAGTTAATTCACTAATGTTAAAATGATCCAGGGATTTCCCCAGCAGTCCAGTGATTAGGACTCAGCGCTTTCACTGCATGGCCCCGGCTTCTGTCCCTGGTCAGGGAACTAAGATCCACAAGCTGAGCAGTGCAGACAAAAAATAATAATAATAATAATCCTCAAAGTCAATCTGCAAAAGACAAGACAGTGATTCTGGAATTCATTTCAAAGCTCACATGACTGGCAGAAGGATTACAAAGAGATTCAAAGGCAGCTTCAGCTTCTCTCACACTGTAAATTTACGCAAATGCAGGAAGAGCAGACTGCACCTGGAAAGCCGACTAGGGTTGAACAGGTGCTCGGAAAGAGTTGCTAACTCTCAGTGGCCGGGCTATACTAACACTCCAGAAGGACATCAGGATCAAAATCATGAGACAGAACAGTTCAGTCAAAAGCTAAGCATTACCGATGAGGGTGACAGGCACGCCGTACTCCAGGGCAGAGATGGCGGTCCATTTCCCAGTGCCCTTCTGCCCCGCGCTGTCCCTGATCTTTGGCAGCAGGTGTTTGCCATCAGCATCTTGGAACTTGAGAATACTGGCTGTGATTTCAATCAGGAATGAGTCCAGCTCTGTCTTATTCCATTCCTCAAAGGCCTGTGTGCAAGACATGAAAGAAAACAATGTGAGAGAAACCAAGATTATACAGGAGACACTCCCTTAACGGACTCATCCTTCTCCCCTGTCAATACTGACGGATGCTCACAACCTGCTCAACACCTGAAGCTAACCGGCTCCTCTCCAGGACACCCGAACACTTCTCCCACCAGCTGAGTTTTATGTTGAGAGGCAGCTGCATCTGATTGCAGCCTGTTGATGCTGGTCTTCTGATCACCAGACTGTGCTTCCCTGAGCTGCGTGTACCCTCACCTCGCATGGGTCTCCGTACAGTCACCTTTCTCCATCAGTCGATCCAGAGAGCGGCCTCATACATCCCTTTACTTTTCTTTACAATAATGATCATAAACTAGCTTTTTATAATCAGTCATTATTGTCTGTCTTCTCAAGATCCATGAGGGCAAGGACTTGGGTTTTTTCCACTAATATATTCCCAACATAGAAGAGTGCCTGGCATATAATACAGCACTCATATTATGTAAACAAATTAAATATGAACACACACAAAAAAGTAATATTTCTAGGAAAACTAAGTCATTGTTTTTGAAAGAACAATAAAGAAAAATCAGTAAAACAAGGTAAATGAGGATGACACACATTTAAAAGTTAGGAGGGAAAAATAAAAAAAAAAATTAGGAGGAAAAAAATGTAGAGAATCTGGAAGGATTCTGCACTGTGTGCCTTGCAAGTAAGCGTCTTTCAATCATGTTCTACTGGAAATAACTGAAAGGATGAACTTTAGATGAGAAGGCTGACTAGAATGCTTATCAGCATGGCCATACTTAAAAGGACCCAAGTCTAATAAAATGATGGGTGAATGAATTCTTGAACATACCTTCCTAAATTTTTTGGGGGGACTGCACTGTAAAGTATGTGGGGTCTTAGTTCTCCAACCAGGGATGGAACCCATGTCCTCTGCAGTGGAAGCTCAGAATAGGGGACTTCATTGTTAGTCCAGTAGTTAAGACTTCCACTGGTCAGGGAACTAAGATCCCACCTGTTATGTGGCCAAAAAATAAATGTTTGCCTATTTAATGATGCTGAAGTATCCAAAGAGTACTAACACCTGCAGTTTACTTTGAAGTATATATTTGAAATATATATAAGAAATATATTTATTTATATAAAACTAATAGAGGGATGGACAGATACTCAATAAAGCAGTACTTAATATAGCAAAATGTTAATGGTATAGTCTAGGTTGTATGTATGTAAGTGATCACTCATTCTTTCAGTTGTCTTATATGTTTGAACACTTTCATAATAAAATGTTGGGGGAGACACTTGTTTCCGTCTCTAACTTTTTGATTAACTGTCAGCCAGTCCCACCTTGATCAGAAAAGCAGGCTTCTGCTGCTCCTCCCATGAGGGACCCTGCAGTTGAGTGACACTGGCCTGACACACCATCAGGTGGGGGTGGTGATTACCATCAAGAGCCCCTGGCTGAGTGATCGGCTGTCAGATTTTATGATCCTATCACTGAGTCCAGCCAGGCCACCAGAATGACCAAGAGAAAAAGAATGAGCAAAGATTTATTGCTACCACCCATGGGGCTCCCCAGGTGGTGCTAGTGGTAAAAAAAACCACCTGCCAATGCAGGAGATGTGGATTAGATCCCTGGGTTGGGAAGATCCCCTGGAGAAGGAAGTGGCAACCCACTCCAGTATTCCTGCCTGGAGAATCCCATGGACAGAGGAGCCTTGTGGGCTATAGAGTCCATGGGGTTACCAAGAGTCAGACACGACTGAGCATGCAGCACTCCCGCCCCGCCCCCTGCCCAGGCTCACCTTGGCCATCTCCTGGTGTCCCATGCCCAGAACGTCCTTCATCAGGTGGTAGGCCTCACAGATGAGCTGCATGTCCCCGTACTCTATGCCATTGTGCACCATCTTCACAAAGTGTCCTGCACCCTCGTCCCCCACCTGTTAGAGCCACAAGCCAAGAGGCCTTCAGGGGTCCACAAAACACCAGAGGAGCCCGTGCCCAATTCTTTGGCCAGACTCCCTCCCCAGACAAAAAAATGAAGACGTATCTACAGTACTGTCAACCGCAAGGGGAAACGAGCTGGCCACCAGTTAAACCACTTGTACTTCAAACAATATAGAAAGGTTCTGTAGTTGTAATGGCTGCTGAGGGGTAAGGAGACCTCAGATGCAAGGTCTGGCCCTCAACCATGTAAGCCCAGAAATGTGTTCTCGCCAGGGTGCCAGAGTGGACAAGGTACTGATGTACAGTAAAGCCAGTAAGGTTATAAAACCACAATACCACTTTGTGAATTTATGATGAGAAATTTAACTTAGTGTATCTTAGTGGCGACCAGTGTTAGTCCAAGCGACACCCTCCTCTGTCCCTGTGGACAAGCCACATGGGAAGCCAGAGTACCTGAAAACTGGCTGAGGGCAAGGAGTCTGGACGAGGAGCATGATGGGGCATCAGACTGCACCGTCAGGTGCTGCCATCTCCAGGCCAGGGACGTGCTGGGACATGCCTGCCCGTGGACGGTGCTGGCAGCCCAAGCGGTGTCCCCGCAGTCGCACAGCCGGGAGGAATGCTGTCCCAGGTCACCCTTACACAGACGCTTCCTCCACCCGCGTTACCACTGCTGACCTACCCCCTCCTGGTTTTGACACTTTCTTTGGCCGTTAAATAACATGGCTAATAACACCTTGCTTCACCCCTTCCTTCCTATAACTTCAGTACTGAACTAAGGGGTACCCACTTTTAGTGTCTAGACCAGTTTTTTCAATAACCTAAGGGTAGGGCTTGGGGCTATGGAAAGTCAACCAGAGTTGACCAAGATACACAAGGAAGTACTGTTATTTTCTCCATGGTTATGTCCTAAATGTATCTAAAAAAAAGTTACTGCCACTGTACCTTCATTTTTACTGTAGCAATTTATTCAAGGAACAACCTCCCTTCCCAATCCTCCACACTTGTGAGGAAGTTACTCAGTCCTCTGAATCACAGCACCAGCCCCTCTTGACACAAGGAGTTCTGACTGACCTCAGTGACCACGGGTTAAAGTGTGAGGGCAGCTTAGTCACCAGGCCCTGTCAGGCCCGGGCATGGGGAGGACCCCTTATTCCCTGTGTCCTTGAGTCCTTGTTTCATCCCTCTCTTTTATCTCATGTAAAACAAAACATCATAAAAATGGTATGTAGAATAAAATTCCAGGGGATTAGGAGCTAATGCGATCTTGGAGGTCACCCAGCCCAACCCCCGTATTTGACAAATGAGAACACTGAAGCCCATGGAAGACAGTGACTGAAGCCCATGGAAGACAGTGACTGAAGCCCAGGGAAAACAGTGACTGAAGACCATGGGACACAGTGACTGAAGCCCAGGGGACCCCGTGACTGAAGCCCAGGGGACCCAGTGACTGAAGCCCACGGAAGACAGTGACTGAAGCCCAGGGAAGACAGTGACTGAAGCCCACGGAACACAGTGACTGAAGCCCATGGAAGACAGTGACTGAGGCCCAGAGAACACAGTGACCGATGATCATGGAACACAGTGACTGAAGACCATGGAACACAGTAACTGACGCCCAGAGGACACAGTGGCTGAAGCCCAGGGAATACAGTGACCACCTAATGTCACAGTTCTAGTTAGTGGGGAGCCAGTATGACAACTCATGTGTCCCCAGCCCAGCGCTCTTTTCATTGATGGGATGGACTGAAGCTGTAACAAGAGACAATGTATTTTATTCATAACACAAAACATAGGAAGGGGAAGTATTAGCCTTGGCCTCTGTCACATTCAGTGAGGGCAAAAAGCTGCAGCTTTTCTGTGCTAATCTAGCACAGAGTACCCATCCCAGGAGCAAACTCCACATTTGATTCTGACATTCTTTTTTTTTTTGGCTGTGCAGCTTATGGGATCTTAGTTCCCTAACGAGGGACTGAACCCAGGCCATGGCAGTGAGATCATGAAGTCCTAACCACTGGACCGCCAGGGAATTCCTTTGGCATTCTTTCTTTAGCCATGAAGTAATATGACTAAAAAATCTTAGTTCGCCTTGTCTTTCCTGTTCCTTTTTTAAGGAATCCATATTTTAGATTAATTGAGAAGGGCTGCTTTTAATATCAACCTCCAAAAAAAAAATCAACCTCCAGTTATGAATATTAAGATACAAGGAATGTACAATAGACACATTTTAGACACCAGCTATGCTAGTGACTTAAAAGATTGAGGTGCTCATGTGACAAAGCAAACCACCGGGCCTGCAGTGATCCTCTGCACACTCTGCCCGTGGTGCCAACCGGCTCAAGAGGGGCCCAAAACCTACCCAGTCACAGCAGGGTTCTCCCGTCCCCACTTTGGCGGCGATGCCTTGGAAGATGGCCTTGATGTGGGGCCTGCGGGAGGGAAGCGCGTGGTTCAGCTGCCAAGAACAGAAGGGCTGAGGGCTCCCTTAAGTTCTCAAGGACGGCCCCTCCCACCCAATTTTTCCTTTCTAATGGGAGGTGGAAATGCCCTTGAAAAAGTAATGAATAAGCTAAGTCCTCAACGTAAGCCAGTTGGAGGCTTCGGACTATCTGGTTTGAGATAGGAGACAAAAAGCCTGGGCGGAAGGGTCAGCAAAGCCCCAAGAGTAACTTCTGTGCATCTCAGAAGACACTGCGATCCCTGCCGTTCCCACAGAGCCTTCTATTGTCTGGAATGATGTTATCACTGACGGCAGGATCCTGGACAGACAGAACCCGGAAGTGCTTCTAAGAGCTGCACTCCTTATCGTTTGGAGAAAAAGCAGCTGCTCTGCATTCCTTGCATGCCTCCTGTAACTCCTGACACCTTTTCCTTATGTTCTCACTACTAACCAATACAGGCTACGTCACAGAAGGGATTCGGTGAAGACACAAAACCTGAGAGCGCTGGAAAGGATGAGGGGCCGAGGCAGCTCCACTGTAACCCTTCAGAGCTTCCCTGGACTTTGACTCACTTCTTCAGGTAAAAGTACCATTTCTGCTCCTGACGGGCCAGTCAGGAAAATGTATTCATGGGAACTGGAGCACTCATGAATGTCTGTATATAGCACTTTCATGTGTATTGTCTGCAATTCTAACAGCCCCCACTGGGCAGTACCCAAGGTAAATTTTTTCAAGCTTTTGAGAAGCAGGAAGGCCTCTGCTTCTAGATTTTAACATACTGAAGAGAATCATTAGGGAAAGACTGAAGGCAGGAGGAGAAGAGGACGGCAGAGGATGAGATAGTTGGATGGCATCACCGACTCGACGGACATGAGCGAGCAAGCTCTGGGAGTTGGTGATGGACAAGGAAGCCTGGCGTGCTGCAGTCCACAGGGTCCCAAAGAGTAGGAAATGACTGAGCGAATGAACTAACTAACTAACTAATCATTAGGGGAGTAATTAAAAGAATAATCTTCCCCAATAAACCCCTCATCTCTGGGGACTGGATTTGATCACTCCTTTTTTAATAAATTCTTTTTAACTTTTTTTTCTCCAAGCCTCAAAGCATGTGGGATCTTAGTTCCCCAAACAGGGACTGAACCCATGCACCCTACAATAGAAGCTCAGAGTCTTAACCATAAGACCACCAGGGAAGTCCCCCAATCATGCCTTACTTTATTGCCTAGTATAAGTCTAGAATACTTGGAAACCAAACTCATTCAAAAAAGCACATTACCTGTCCATGTCTCCCTTACAGGGATCCTTCCTTTTCTATTCTTTCTCTTCTGCTCCATCTATTTTTCTTTATCTGGCTTTCTCTTTTCCTGCAGCCTCAGCAGTGGTGTTTCCCTCAGTCTAAGTTACATATAACTAATTACTTGCATCTTTTCATTTTAATCCTCTACCCAGCTTATCACCCCAACCCCTGTCTCATACAGCCCACCTGTAACATCATCACCAGAGCACCTCCCTTCCGGCCGACTACCCGTCCCCTTACACAGAGCACAATGAGCAATGTGAAATTCGATTCTTCCTTAGTTAAGTAAAAATTCTCTACCTGGTTTCCAGGGAACGGAAGAGGCCCCACCTGACTGCCATTACTCAGTGATTAACTATATCTCAGCTAAAGAGGCAAATCCTACTCCTAAGTCCAGACAGTGCATTATCTGAGCTGCCTTCTTAAAGCCTCTGAACCCTTGAAGCCTACTTAGAACTTCCAATATTGGTACTGGAGGAAATAACAGAGAAAAAAAAGGAAAAGAGAAACAGGTACACACATTACATCAAAGCAACAAAATGTATAGATAAAAGACTGTGTCCAGCGTCTCCCATGTCCATCATTCAGACTGCACAGAGGAGAGTGTGTGGCAGGGCTGACCTCCACCCACCGATCTCCAGGTCCAGGCTCCCTGTGCCCACGCAGGTGGTGCCTGTGGTACTCACCAGGCCTCCTTGTTCCCTCCTGGCATAAGCGACGGGCCATACCGGGCCCCGTCCTCTCCACCGCTAACTCCGCTCCCCACAAACAAGATGCCCTTCTCCTTGAGATCTCGACACCGTCTCTACAGGAAAGAAAAAGAATTTCATCATATTTCCTAAAATCAGTTTCTCCCACCATATGAGACAGGTATGGACACCCACATTTGACTTCAGTGACCCAAGAATCCAAGAATAACCTGGCCATTCAAGATACTTAATTCCCTCAGTTTGGGAACTTAAAAAAATCCATGGACGTTTAAGATAGCTACCCAAAGGGAGGGCTTCCCTTGTAGCTCATTTGGTAAAGAATCTGCCTGCAATGCAGGAGACCCAGGCTTGATTCCTGGATTGGGAAGATCCCCTGGAGAAGGAACTGGCAACCAACTCCAGTATTCTTGCCCAGAGAATCCCCATGGACAGAGGACTGTAGCCTGGTAGACTACAGTCCATGAGATTGCAGGAGTTGGACACGACTCAACCCAACAGGAAGTAATAAAGCCAAACATATATTCTCACCTTACAGACCGTGTACAATAAGACTCAATGATGAGGTGGTTTAATACAAGCATGACTTATGGCCATTTAGCACTTAGCTTGTACCGGGACTTTCCCAGCACATGAAACCATTAGAGCAGCGGTCCTCACCCACACTGCCCAATGATGTATCACGTATTGATGGAGATAAAGGGAACATGAGCATAAACGCCCAGCTTGCCGAGTCTAAGGAGCAGTCATCCTTCTGAGTTACATGTGTGACCGGTGAGAACCTCATCCATCAGGTATGTCTTGATGGCCAGTCCCCAAAGAATCAACACCACATTAGGATATCCACTCTTCCCTTACATGTGCAGTGCTGCTACTTTTTTCTAAAATGTTCCCAGAACCTGGAAGAACGTGGACTGAGGAACACTCACCATGGTATCCCTGTATTCAGAATTTCCTCCATCAATGATGATATCACCAACGTCTAGCAAAGGTACCTGTTAACCAGACACCAGCATTAAGGCAAAGAAATGAAAGACAAAAATGAACATACCTTGACCAGTTAGAACAAACAAGAATTTATCCCAAATAAACCCAGCCTGAAAGTGTGTGTGTGTGTGTGTGTGTGTGTGTGTGTGTGTGTGTGTGTGTATAAAGTTTAATTTTCAACAATCCTCTCTGAGGCTAGAGCTGAAAGTCAAAGTGTCAATCACTCAGGCATGTCTGACCCTTTTGCAAACCCTTGGACTGTAGCCCACCAGGCTCCTCTGTGCATGGAATTCTCCAGGCAAGAATACTGGAGCAGTTTGCCATTTCCTTCTCCGGGTGATCTTCCCAACCTAGAGAGAGAACCCGGGTCTTGCACCCTGCTGGCAGATTCTTTGCTGTCTGGCCACCAGGCCAGGGAAACCCTATTTGAAAGCTTAGGGCTAGCAAGCAAACCCAGTCAGAACTCTCCACAACTGAAATGATTTTTTTTAACTAAGATTTTTACAACAAACAAATCCTACTTGGAAAATTTTATATTTCCAATGGGTAACACCTGTCTGATTTATATTCCTAGATTGGATTAGTTTTAAAAGATCTATAAAATCTCTGCCTGCAACAGAGTGTGGGTCCAGTAAATATCTAATGGTTTGGTATATGAATAAATGATTTGATCATCACCATTTGAAGATGGCAGAAAAAGACCAGGCGTTGAACAAGAATATCTTCCTATGACTCACCAACTAAGCTGGCTTTATCATTCAATCTCCCCCCACAAGGGAGATTCATTATTCAACCTCCCCCCACAAGGCTCCAGTTTATATTACTTAATACTGTCCTGTGCTGAAGAGTGGACTTCCATGGTGGCTCAGATGGTAAAGAATCTGCCTCCAATGCAGGAGACCCAGGTTCGATCCCTAGGTCAGGAAGGCCCCCTGGAGAAGGGAATAGCTACCCATGTCAGTATTCTTGCCTGGAGAATTCCATGGACAGAGGAGCCTGGTGGGTTATAGTCCAGGGGTTCGCAAAGAGTCAGATACAACTGAGTGACTGACTCTCTCACACACACACACTGAAGAGTACACTGCAATTTTCCAGTTCGTTCTGTCTGAACTAGTCCTGGGCAGCCTGACATCTTACTACACAAAAAATCTGGTGTCATTTATCGCAACGTTCTTCTTTTCTAGGTCATTTTTCTTTTTTAACAGAGGCATAGTGGAATCTCAACCACTGGACAGCTAGGGAAGTCCCAGAACTGTAAGTTTTTTTTGAACATCAAAGATAGAGTTCACTGAAATTACTGATATCTCTATTCTGGTTGATAATGAAGTCTTACTGACATGTCTCTTGGTGGCCTCAGAATTTTACATACAAAGAATTATTACCACCCAAGGATATACTGTTTACTTAATTAGCGCCAATCAAGTTAAACACCACTGAGTCATTAAAGCACCAGTTTTGTCAGAAGTGAGCACACTGCACCCAGAAACTGAAAAGCAGTGAAAGAGCTAAACGAAGTCCTGTCAGGTGCGTGGCAGTTCGGGGAGAGCCGGCCTCACCAGTTTCTCAATGAAATCATCGACAGCCTGACCGGCCTTCACAAGCAGGATGATCCGCCGTGGCTTCTTCAGCTTGGACACCATTTCCTCCAAGGAGTGCGCGCCAAGCACCTTGGTGCCCTTCGCCTCATTGGCCAAGAAGTCATCAACTTTGGAGACTGTCCTATTAAAAGCACAGACCTAGAAAGGCAAGGGGCCTGATTAGGAGATCTAGGACACAGAGGACCTTCAGACTGAGGATCAAGGGACAATGGGTTTCTACACAGCCCAAGGTTTTGGGGAGGGAGGACCCTGATTCTAACTTTTCTCCACCCAAGTGCTGATGGATCACCGTCAAGTTAATTATAACAGGATAAAAAAGCAAAGGACTGGATATAAGCAAAGGTCAACTGCCCGTAACATATCGGGCCAGAGCCTGTCACTATTTGGTTAGGACTTAAATCTGGGAACCAGCTAGTTCCAGACTGTTACCTTTTGTCACTGATAATCCTTGTATCTAAGCCAGTTCAGTACTCACATCTGAACTTTTCTCCAGATCCCATTAGGCAATAAAGTTAGAGATCTACACTTTCGGAAGGATTTCTTCTCCTCAGGAGAGGGGCAGGTTTACTCAAGGCCACAAACCTTACAGAATGGGCAGATCCATTCAGCAGGACTTCTTTCTGAGAGGACTGTGAAGTCGGCCCTCCCACCCCCACATGTGAAGTGGGCCTTCTCTCTCTTGCAACAATGTTAAGCAACAACAGAGCACACAGCAAGAGAACCACGATTCCAGGTTACAGGGGATCTTCCAAATCAGAACAGTCCCCCACACTCAGGCTAAGGCACGGAGGACCCCAAGGGAAGAGTGTGCCCCTCCCCACTTACCACAAAGCCATGGTCATTCATGTTCAAAATTAAGTTCTGGCCCATGACAGCCAGTCCAATGAGGGCAATGTCAGCTCTGAAAGAGGGGAAGAGGAACAAAGGAAACTGTGTCAGTTGAACCTAATTCATCACAACGCAGAGTTTTCCAGCTTTTGATACAATTAACAACTCGTTTTAACGTTCCTCTGGCCCACTCCTCCCTTTTGCACTTTATACCCCGGGGTTGCAGCCTTCAGGCCACCCCCCCTCTACCACTTCGCGGGTCCCCAAGTTCTCCTGGACCAACGACACATGCACGAGGAGGGGATTCAAGGCACGGAGTCTTTTCTGCGCTACGGCCGAGCTGGTGATGACGCGTCCGAGGCCTTCCGTCTCCGCAGAAGGGCCGTCCAGGGACCTGAGCTGCCCTCGGCCACGCCTGTCCCCTCCTCTCTCTCCTTTCCTAGGAACGGGATCCGCCCGCGTCGCCTCGAGGGGCAGAGGGGCTGGGTCCCAGGAAAGGCGAGGCCGCGGGGCTGACATGGGGTCCGGCGCTTCTCTGGAGGTCCCGGGCTCCGGGCGCCACGAGGCCGGGCTCTGGAGACCCCTGGGGCGAGGCGACGTCGGGGGCGGCTCCGGTGTCAGCGGCGGCCCCCGGAAAGTCCCTAGCCACCCGCGGGATCACTCACTGGGCCATGGTGGCGACGGCGGCGACGGCAGAGCGGACTGGAGCAATCAGACCCGAAGTGCAGGGAGCGCACGGCCTGGAGGATCCGGGCAGAGTCCCGATCCGGCTCGCCCCGGGGGCCGCGGCTTTCCAGCGCTGGCCAATCGGAAGGACGGGGCGGAGTCTTGATGCCACGCCATTGGTCCGGCCCGGCGCCTGTTAGACCACCTGAGGAAAGTAGGCCCGCCCACTCCTAGGGCTGGTTCAGGAGAGCGCCGAGCACATCGATGACACCTCCTGATCGCCCGCGGGGGTGTGGCTCGGGCGGTGGGCGCGGGTCCCGGGCAAAGGACACGTAGCGCCTGAGTTCTGCTCTGAGCCTCGGTCCAGAAGAGTGATGGCTCACGTCGGGCCGCGCTTTTCAGTGTAGCGGGCTCTTGGACGCCTGTTGTCCAAGTGTCCGTCACTCCCTTTGCCAGCCTCACTCTGGGGATTATGCGTGGAATTGCTCCACCCTGGACAGGTCCCCAGGTGTATTCTTTCCTTTTTTAATTTTTATTTATTTGTCTGTGCCTGGCTCTTAGTTGCTGCTTAGGGGATCTTTAGTTATAGTTGCATCATGAGAACTCTCAGCTGTGGCATGGGGGATCTTAGTTGCCCCACCAGGGATCAAACCCGGACCCCGCAGAGTCTTAGCCACTGGAGCACCAGGGAAGTCCCTGGAGGTGTATTCTTGTCTGTAGGCACGTGTGCGACGAGTACCAAGAAACGTTGCTCCTCACCACGACCCTGTGGGGGAGACGTGTTGCCTCTTTTTCAGTTCAGTTAAATTCAGTCGCTCAGTCGTGTCCGACTCTTTGCGACCCCTTGAATCGCAGCACGCCAGGCTTCCCTGTCCATCACCAACTCCCAGAGTCTACCCAAACCCATCAAGTCGGTGATGCCGTCCAGCCATCTCATCCTCTGTAGTCCCCTTCTCCTGCTCCCAATCCCTCCCAGCATCAGGGTCTTTTCCAATGAGTCAACTCTTTGCATGAAGTGGCCAAAGTGCTTTTTACAGGTGAAGATACAGGCTCAGAGAGCAAGTGGGGGATGTACTTGCTGGGCTGCGATGGGGCCTGGCTTGGAGGTAGAGAAGCCACCTAAGGGTGAACGGGCAGTTCAGGGCATTAAATCCCATCTCCCACGTGCGCAGTCCCTGGTGCATAAGGCGTCTTCACTCTCAGCCCTGAACCCTGCTGCCTCCTGTGCAGATGCCCTTGAACGAAGCTTAGCTCCTCAGGTAACTTTTAGAGTTTTTTTACTTTCTGTGGATGCTTGGCATCACTTAACAGTGCCTTGCACATAGTAAGTGCTCAGCAGCTGCTTAACTACTAGAGTCACACAGCCAGTAAATGGCTAGATAGTGACCCAGTTGTGACCCATTCAAGGCTATTGCCATGGCACCAATTGCACAGGTTAATTTGTAAAATATGTTTTAATAGATAGTGTTAGAACTTCCACCTTAGCAGATGTCCCACTATAGCCCTTTTTTGCCTATTGAAAGTCCTGTTAATTAAATCACAGAAATAATGTTTCTATTAATACAATGTTTCTATTAATTCAGTTAATGCAATAGTGGAATCTTACTCTGAAATTTAAAAATGGTATCACAGCCCTCTTTATCTTGTATGTACCTATTCTACATGAGGGTTCCTCCACTAGAGACAGTCTTTGTATCAGTTTTTTTCCTTGAGTTGCTTCCATATTTGCCTGTTTTGCACCAGCCAAGCCTTATTACACTTCTTAGTGTACAATTTTTCTTTTCTTTTTACTCTCCTGTTGCCTGGCAGGCACGACGTTCATGGACTGTGGTTGACTCACCGCACAGATGTACAGGTGGGGCCAAGCTTAACACAGAACTTCCCCCTGAGGGCAAGAGCAGTCACTGCCCATGGGTCCCTTCTTGCTTCTATGGGTACAGAATATAGCTGTAAGCAAGCCTCATATTTATTTTAAAGCTATAAGCAAGGTGCCCAGCTGCCCTCAGCGCTACCATGAATGGGAAGGAAGTGACTAGAGAGATATGAACTGATAAGCCAGGCAAACCAGAGCATGCAAGCTGACTGCCACAGTGAGCCCTGCACTGGGACCTGAGCCTTAATCCCATTTCTACCCACACGGGGGATTTGGTAGCTTTAGATGAACCAGCTGGTCGGAATCTTGGAGCTCTTTCAGCCCAATGTCCCCAAACTCCAGTGTTATTTATTGGCTCATCAAATCTTTGTTGCGGTGTTCAGGCTTCTCTCTAGTTGCAGTGATGCAGGCTTAGCTGCCCCACAGCATGTGGCATCTTAGTTCCCAATCAGGGATTGAACCTGCATCCCCCACATTGGAAGGAAGATTCTTAACCACTGGATCACAAGGGAAGTCACACAGGGAGCTTGTTCAATGTGAATTCTGAGACCACAGGTCTGGGATAGGCCAGGAAATGTGCATTTTGTCAAGACCCACTGGTGATTCTGAGTGCTGGAGGAAAGAATTCTCAAAGAGTGATCAGGACCTCTGAAAGTCCTTGAGACTCTTTCCAGGGAAGTGGGGACGAAGCTATTTCCTGGTATTATTTGCCTTTTTCATTCTCTTTCTCTCACAAGTGTACCGTGGAGTTTCCCTAGGGGCTGCATCACATGTAACACAGGCCAGATTAAATGTAGAAACAGATATGAGAATCCATCTGTCTTAAGCTGTATGAAGCAGAGCGTTCGTTAGATTTAAAAAACCATCAAACAATACCACTCATCTCAGCAGGAAATGGGGGTTTGATCCCTGGGTTGGGAAGATCCCCTGGCGAAGAGAACGGCAACCCACTCTAGTATTTCTGTCTGGGAAATCCCATGGATGGAGGAGCCTGGCGGGCTACAGTGCATGGGGATCAATCACAAAAAGTCGGACACAGCTGAGCATGCATGCCCACTCATCTCACTGCATTTCCTTTTATTTTGGAAAATTGTTATTCCAAGGTTTCTTTTTTTTTAATGGTAAATATTAATAGTCATAACTTATATAAACAAGAGCTTGTTGTGTCTTCAGTAATTTTTAAGAGTGTAAAGTTGTCCTGACATCAACAAGTGTGAGAACCACTGATCTAGCCCAACTCATATTTTAGGGAAGGAGGAAATTGGGGCTCGGAGAGCCAAGACTTGCTGAATCACACAGTGAGACTCTAGAACTACCTGTTGGGATGGACTGGATGCCTTCCAAGTCCTGTTCAGTAAAACCTGGAATCAGGAGACAGCCTCAGTGGTTGGGGAGCCTGTTGTCCCAGAACTCAGATCAGATGGCTTCTCGAATGATCCAAAATGTCTTTCTTGGAGGCTGCTGGCTGGAGAACGAAAAGCAATAGGTTTTGGTGACGCTCTGACCTTAGCTGGCTCCAGTTCCAGCTCTTTCTAGCTGTGCAACTGGGGCAAATTATCAAATCTCAGAGTTACCTCATGTGTGAAACAGGATCGACAAGGTCTCACCGGGTAGCACTAGGGTTAAATGAAGCCCACTGGACTTGCGTTTAGTACTTAGAACTCACATCTTAGTTTCTCCCTTTGTTATGAGAGAATCTCAGAAAGGAGAGACATAAACCACAGTGGAAAATAGGACTGAATTTTAAAATTGCTCTCAGCTTTCTTGTGAAAGCTTCTGGGGAGAAAGGGGTAGAAAAACACTTTTGCAACTTCTTGCCATACTCACAGATCAAACCCATCTGGTGAGAAAGTGGTCTGTTACTTGAATTGTTTGCTGGAGAAAATATTCCCACTTGACTAGGAGACACACCCATGCATTTCACAACATCTGTTTTTCCAATTCAAACACATCATTCCAGGCGTCTCCTCCTTTTCCCCATGATCATTACCTCAGTTCTACACCCCTTTAGGATGCACCAGCATCCCTTCCCCTTTTATTTTAATTTCACTTATTGGCTGTGCTGGGTCTTAGTTGCAGCATACAAGATCATCTACCTTCACTGCGGCACACAGGATCTTTAGTTGGGGCATGCAAACTCTTAGTTGTGGCATGTGGGATCTATTTCCCTGACCAGGGATTGAACCTGGGCTCCCTGCATTGGGAGTGCAGAGTCTTAGCTACTGGACCACCAGGGAAGTCCCAGCACATCCCATTAAAAGTGCTTTTTTCTCCCCAGAGGATCCCAATTGTCTGGAACATACACTCAGTCTGAGCTTGGTCTGCAGGGCTGACCAATGTGACCAACTTAGTTGCTCAGTCATGACCGACTCTTTGCGACCTCATGGACTGTAGCCCACCAGGCTCCTCTGCATGAAATTCCCCAGGCAAGAATACTAGAGTGGGTAGCCATGCCCTCCTCCAGGAGATCTTCCTGACCCAGGGATGGAACGCATGTCTCCTG